GGCTGTTGTCATTGCGACGCTACTCGAAGAGCTGTGGCAGACGAACCGGCTGAGTCTGGTGGATACGCCATACGCGATGCACGCGCAGGTGTGTAGCAGCGTTCTGGTGATGACCATTAGCTCATGGCAGGCGCTGCTGAGTAGCTCTCGGGGTCGACGAGGTGGTGTGGATGACCGGGGCAGCGCGGCGGATGGATGCGACGGTGTCGACGTCCCAGACGGCGCTGACAGTCTTGGAAACGGAAACGGAGAATCCAATGGCAGCAACGATCCGCTGGTCGTCCCCGCCTTTCTCCCCGAACACCGCCACCTTTTGCAGAGCAATGTGACTGTCCTCGACTTTCTGCGGAGGTACATCAAAGCCGATCTGTACTACGAGTCGGCCAAGCAGGCGCTCCGTCGGTTTGAGGAGCTCGAAGCTCGCGGCAGCAGAAGCACCAGCAGCGCCGAGGACACAGCAGGTACAGCAGCGAGCAGTGCAGCAACTGAATCGTCGCAGTTCTCGCTTGAGTACATCTTGAACCCACTTGGTGTCTATCCCATGGCGCGGAAACAGGCGCGGAACCGCCACGAGCCTGAAGCGAACGTGGCGGCCAGCGTGTCCAAGGCAGATACGTCGACAAGTGCGCAACATGCGCGGGATGAAACGAGCACCCAGATGGCACAAAACACGCACCAGCAGCATACACAAAACTCACCAAACGTGCCAGGATCCGACAATGCCCCTGGGAGCATGATGCCGTATGCCTACCCGCCGAGGCAACCCACGTATGCCGACATACCTCCGACGATGCTGCCGCCGGGCCAGCATGTTGTACAGCATGAGCAGGTGCAGCCAGCGCTGCCACAGTTGCCGGAGCAAGCAATAGCGGGCGGGCTGGACACGGCCGATGCCACTCAGTTTTCGCTGTTCCAAATGTGGGATTGGGAGTCGGAGGTACCCGGCATGGACAACATGGGCTACCCGACATTCCTCGACACGTTCCCGGTGGCTTCTCATTAGGTGTGAATCTTCTTGAACTATAATTTTATTTTTGTTTCTGGAGGCCGGGGATCAAAAGGAGTTGGACGGTTGGAAATGTCGGGACAGCTTATGAGTTTTCACTTAATTCTTCAATCTAATGACAACGCGCGTGGATGAAAATGGTAATAATTTTTGACAAGATAACACCGTACTATGCTCACGATATGTGTCGTCTATATTTGTTGTTGTTGGCTTTCTATGTACTTGCGGTCTACTTCCTCCGCGCGTCGGCCGCTTCACGGCCCAGCTGCTCCAGAGCTTCTTCGTATGCTGCCAGCCGCGCCTCGCCGAACCAGGCACGCGCACCACCCTCGTCGTCGCCGTCTGTACCGACCTGCTTCTGCTTCTGTTTGTGCTCACGGTCTTCACCACCCACCACGGCTTTGGCTACCTTGTTCGTGCGGCGGACGGTGGATGCCGAGGATGACGACGAAGCAAGCAGCGCTGACTTGTTCTTGTTGCTCTGGCCGGCTACTTCCGGCCAGAACCAGCCAGCCTCCTTCTTGGTGTACAGCGTCCACGCATGGCCCGCCCAGCCGGCGCGCGCTGTGCGGCCGACACGGTGGACGTAGAACTCGACGCTGGGCGGCATGTCGTAGTTGATAACGTGGTCGAGGCGGGGCAAGTCAATACCGCGGGCAGCCAGGTCGGTGGCCACGAGGATGCGAAGCTTCTTGGACGGTTCGGTGCCAAAGGTGCGTAGGGTCTTGCGGCGCTCGGATGTACGGGTTGTGGACGTGATGGTGCCAATCAGAGGCGCGAGATCGGGGGCGAGCAGGGCCAGGAGACGGGACAGGCGCAAGGCGTTTTCGTTGGACTTTGTGAAGACAAGGACGGTGCTGTTGAAAGGGGCGGCCGGGGTCGTTTTTGTCTTGTTTGATGTGGTGTCCTCGTCTTCGTCCGTGTCGCTGTTGCCGCTACTCGAGTCACTGTTGTCGCTGTCGCTGTCGCTGTCATCAACACTCGAAGCACTCGAGTCACTCGAGGAGTCGGAGTCACTAGGTTCACTCGAGTTGCTGTCACTGTCGCTCTCGCTGTCGCCGTCGCTATCGCTATCGCTACCCTCATCACTGTCCACATTCGGCTTGGCTGTCGATGCCGCCTTGCTGCCGCTAGTAGCGCTGGCACCGGACAGCAGTGCACTCCGCAACAGGTCGACCAGGTACAGCGGCTTCTGCGACTCGTCGCGCACCTTAATGGCCGACTCCTGGAGGCGGTCTGGTAGAACGTACGCGGCATTGTCGCCTTCGGTGGCCAGGCCCTGGGCCTGCCGGGCCGTGCCCTCGAGGATAATGTGCGTGGGACGGCTGAGGCGCAGGCTGTTGAGCAGACTGAGATCACGCGTCATAGTGGCGCTGAGCACGACTTTTCGGACGCCGCTCTCGCACGAGTCTGCAAAGTCGCGAGCACCGAGCTTCTCCTTGATCATGGAGTGGGACGCGGGGGAGGAAGAAGAAGTGGCCGCAAGCCTGTCCATGACAATCGTCAACCACTGCTGGTAGCTCTGGCCCAGCAGCTTGTCGGCCTCGTCGACGACGAGCCAGCGGACAAAGTCGAGAGTGAAACCTGGCGTGGACTGAATGTGCTCGACGAGGCGGCCTGGGGTGCAGACGAGAACGTCGACACTGGACATGTTCTGGATGACGTGGTTGGGGAGGGGGAGGGTTGATGAAGTGGGTAGGCCAATGGTCTCGACAGCTGTGTACGGGTTTGCAGAAACTCCTGTCGCAGTGGTGGACGTCTCTGCCGCTGCGTCCTCGGTCGCAAAAGGCCATCGCTGGCGGTTGCTAAGCAAGGCCCGATAGCCCTCCGGATCATACACTTGGTCCTCCTCCATCAGTGTGGCCTGCTCCTTTTTGAACGACTGGCTGCCCATAGCAACACCAATGCGGACCTTTTTGCCCGACGCCTTGCTGCCGTCCGTGGCCGAACCACTGCTGCCGCCGTACGCCCGTGCACACGTCTCGCAGACGTCCTGCACCTGCTGCACCAGCTCACGTGTTGGCACAACAATGACGGCGCGCAAGCGTGTGACACCCCGTGTGCGGCTGATGTCACGAATCAGAGGCAGTACGTAGGCCAAGGTCTTGCCAGAGCCCGTGGCAGCCGAAATCACAAGGTCGCCGCGGCCGGCGCCTGTGGATGGCCGACGGGAGGGTAGAAGCAGAGGCACAACGGCGGTCTGGACAGCAAAGGCCTCGGTCCAGCCCTTTTCATCACGCAGGACCTTCGCCGCGCGCTCGTCGATGCCCAATTCGGGACTGATGCCGAGTTCGGCAAAGGGTTTGCGCGTAGTGGAGGCGACACGGACAGGGTCGGCCAGCCACGGTGGAAGGGTGTCGTAGGCTGGGCGGGCGGTGCCTTCGGGGATGGACGCGGGCTGCGGCAGGGGCTCGAGGCCGTGGAGCTCGGCTGGTTCGTTGGCGTCGTCTGCGCTGGCGCCGTTGTCCTCGCCATGTGCGGAAGTCGCTGGCGCGCGTTCTTGGGCCTTTTTGAGAGACTTGTTTTTCTTCTCAAGCAGAGCCTTATGACGAACGGACAGTTCCTCGACCTCTTCGGCGATGGCGGCTTCTTGCTTGGATTTTTTGTTCTTCTTCTTTTCTCTTTTCGGTTTGTTTTCTCTGAACCGGTCGACCATTGGTGTGTCAACAGCTTGGGCGGGTGTGGTGGTGGCACTAGTAGGCTCTTCCGTGTCTACTTCCATCGGCTCTTCTGTTACCGGAGGCGGTGCCGGGGCCTTCTTGTCCTCGTTTTGTTCTTTCTTTTCTTCCGTCTTGTCGTCCGTTTTGCTCTTTTTCTTTTTCTTCTGTTTTGGATCGTCCTCCACTTTTGTTTCCACGGGCACTTCAGTCTGCCCGTCTTCCTTGGTCTCTTCTATGTTCTCCACTGCCGTTTCTACTTTCTCCTTCTCCTTCTTCTCAACCGTGCTGTTTTCTTCGGCATCGTCACCCTCGTCGTCATTGTCCTCGTCGTCGTCGCCGCCGCGCTTCTTGGACTTGCGCCTCCGCTTGCGTTTCTTCTTTTCGCCCGCCGGCGGAGCTGTTCCGTTTGTGCTCGCGTTCGCGTCCATGTTTGTATGAGGTGTTGCCACAGCCGTCGACTCGGGCTCATCACATGCCCGGGGCCGTTTGCTTGCGCCGGCACCGCCCATCAGGCCCAGCCGGGCTGCAGAGACATTTGCGTATTCGTCATCCTCAAAAACAATCTTCCGTTTCTGGGTTGCAGGCAGAGACGCAGCTGGTGTTGGTATGGGCTGTTGGGCAAACGGTATCGGGCGAGCAGCGTGTTGTGTCGGTTGTGGAGGAGCAAAGCGGTTGGAGCTGGGATAGCCATTGACGCCGTTGACAATGTCGGCGCCATTGGCAGGCGCGGGCGCCGGAGCCGGTTCTGCCGGCCGGGCTGTGCTGGCAGCATTGCTCTTGGGCGGAACCCAGCGTGCGTACATGGTGGGCAGACTGGCACGTCTGATGTTGGAGAGGGAGGGGCCAGAGTCGAGGCCGAGGAATTTTGCATGAGCCCTCGTACGAAGCCCTCCAAGGGAAGGACTATTATAGCGTCAAGATTTTGCAGGCACGAAAGAGGAAGAGCGAAAGTCGATTCTGCCATAGCCCACCGCCAAATATTTTCAGTGGGTCCTGTTATCTTATCGCAGGCACTACTTGCTCTGAAATACTTGTGAGGGGCCGCTAAATGCAGCCTCAACATCATTGTAAATTGCTCTATTCCAGCGCGCTTGCTCGTCACCAACTTTCTTTGCTAAATCACTACATTCTTATCTGCGCACGATGATGGCCCATTCAATGAGTGTACTGGATAAGATTATTAACGGTAAAACAAGACAAGATTGGCACATTCAGAGCAGGACTATACTAATGAGATGTCATGGATCGTGGAATGAGACGGTATATGGCGAGAATCGACAAGACAACAATTGGACTGAAAACAAACACAAAACAAGTGGCCTCTACTTCGACCCTCACGACGACTCCGTCTGGCCCAGGGACCGCAGGGTGCCAATCAGCTGCACGCTGTACTCGACGTGCTGTAGCTCCTCGCGCGTCCAGCGGGCGCCGACCGTGGTGCGCCAGGTGGTGACGTTGTTTTCGATTTCCTCGCGCAGCAGGTCGGCCTTGCGGCGCATCTCGCGGCTGCGGGTCTGGTCGTCCTCGTGGATGGCGTAGCGCTCGCCGTGGATGGCCAGCTCCATCTTGTAGAGCTCGCGCAGCATGTTTGTGGTGTCGCGGATGTCGGCGGGGGTGACGTCGACGTTGGACATGGCGTGCTGCTGGGTGGTCATCTGGGACGAAGACGCGTGCTGGGGTTGCTGTTGTCGGTGCAACGTCTGCGGCGGCTGCTGCTGGCGCTGTTGTTGGGTGGCCGGCTGCGGATAGGTCGGGGCGACAGCCTGGGCACCGCCCTTGGACTTGCCGCCCAGCAGGCTGTGGTGCGCCTTGGCCGACTGCTGCCCTGGCGGAGGCGGCGTGAACTGCTGCTGTGGCTGTGGCTGTTGCCGGGGTGGAAAGGGTGCGCTTCCTGGAGAGAACGGCTGCTGTTGTGCCTGGTGGTACAGGTTGGCATGCGATGACTGATGCTGCGGCTGTTGGGGATGCGAATACTGGGGCGGAGGAGTTGGGAAGGCCGACTGCGAGCTTGTCGTCCCTGCCGACTGTGCGCCGGCCGATCGTGGCGGTGGCGGGACATTGTTCGTGTTGGGGTCGCTGTGGCCGCTGTGCACGCTGCCGCCGGGGGACGTGAGGTCGTCGGCCGTGCTGGCCAGCGGTGGCGGGAGTGCGTTGAGGAAGCTGATGTCGGCGCCGTACGACGGGCCGCCGAGGCTCCCGTTGACGCTCCCGCCATTTGCACTCGGACCGTTTCCGTATGGTAGCCCGATGCCGTTGCTAGCTGCGGCTGCACCGCCTAGCGGATTCGCCACATCCACGCCGTTGTAGAAGGCACCGGGGGGCGGGAATTGGGTTTGCTGCGGCTGCCCATGCGATTGCTGTGGCATGCCGGCGGCTGGGAAGAATTGGCTCCCACCAAGACCACCAAAGCCTCCCGCACCTCCCGCACCACCCGGAGCACCACCACCTATATATCCGGCAAAAATGGGCGGTGGCGGCGGCGTACGGGAGCGTGTGCTGCCGTTGGCCGGGCCGTTGCGCAGACTGAGGTCGGCCATGGACGGCAAGGGATTGCTGCTCCCGCTGCTGCTGCTGGACGGGCCACCTTTGCCGTCCTTGTGATAAGGTTGACCATGTGTCTTTTGCGCCGTGGAGAAGAGGCGCTTCATCTTGCTCGTCATCGTGATGGTTACGTGTGTCGCGAGGAGAGACTTTGGTGTTGGCGATTTGGATGAAGATGGAAGACGCGGAGTGAGGAGAGATGAACCGCACGACCCGAAGAGAGAGGCCCAAGACAATGCCAGGCGTAAATTGCGACGAAGCAGCCTTGAGGAGGTCTGTCGAAGAAAGATAGACAACAAAAGATGTAGAGAACAAAACCCAAAGACTCACAAATCTTGGAAAGCTCTCCGGCCTCCAAAAATGGTCAGCATTTGCTGGAGCTATGGAAGGAATTCGTTCCTCGAGCTCCCTCACTTTCAAGTTCCCTTCCGCCTTGCCGGTTACTTCTCATGTCAATGCTGGGGGTTGTGAGCCTCGCCTGGAGCCAAACAATATTGTCGCTGCCGCCTTACCAGCGCCTTTCTCGTCGAGGCAGTGTAGCTTGCAGCAACCCCCAAAGATACATCGTAAGGCAGGTCAAGGAGGGGCGTGCGATTAGCAGCTGGCGGACATATTGAACAGGGGGCGCAGCGCTGTGTTCTGGCGCACTGTGCAGCGTCTCGTCTCTTGACGAGCCTGGAGCGAGCCAAGCTAGACCGTTTCAAGGCGGCCTGAGGCTCACTAAACAGGCGCTCGCCGCACGCATCCTCCGGGGACCTCTCACAGCGCCGACAACACCGACAGCGAATGAAGCAAACGTGTGGCAAGCTTGCTATCACGGCTGCACTGCAAGGACATAGACCTGCGCTGATTGCGACATTTGCAAAGCTTCTTCGTGTTTCCTTTTCCCCCAGCGACCCAACACCCGGGGTTGAAGTTCCGTGCTGAAGAGACATATGTAAAGAAAGGGGAGACGGAGCCAAAGAAGACTCAGTCTTTAGGTGGCCTCGCCGGACAGCTTTGGCAGGTCTCTCGGTGGCAACCTTAAAACGAAAGTGAATCTGGAGGGCTAGGCTGTCAATGCGTGGCCCCCGCATAGAGAGCCCCTGTCTTATCTCGCCTGGGCCACTGAGATGCTGCCACAAGACAAGAGAGTCGCAACGGGCGAAACAGAGGCCGCGAAAAGAGCCTCCTGTGGGGAGCTTTCTCGCAACCGTCGTCACCGCACTGTGGGCATTTGTGCCTTTTTGTCCTGTGTTAAGTTGTCCACAGTGACAGGCACTGTCCCGGATGCAGGCCTCTTGTTCTTGACCGAGGAGACACGACCGAACGGAGGGCGCAGTCATATGCATCATGCAAGCCACATTGACGGGCCCTTTATTGTATGGAGGACGATAACCGTTTACGTCGGAAAGTAGGGAAAAGCGAAACGGGCAAACGAGGGGAGGACATGAGCCGATCGGCGGTTTGGACCACTTAGGCGACGAGCAACTTCAGCCTCGTGAACGTGGTTTGGTTGCCCCCTTCTTGTTGGAATCCCCACAGGCCTCGTAGGATTGACACAGGCCTCTGTGAAGGATATTTGTGGGATGGGAAGGTCTTCGGCATTCGATAGTCCCTGTAACAAGTGGTAGATAGTTTGGTAAGAATAAAACTGTTTAATTTTAAATTGATATTCAACAAGTACACTAAGTGGCATCCGCCATAGTTTGGGTCTTTGTCTGTTTTCTCTTGTACTTTGCCGTCGTCAAGCTTATGAGCTCTTGCAGCACGAGCCATTTGTACCGTTTGCACCGTTTGCACCGTTTGCACCGTTTGCACCGTTTGCCTTGCCGGCCACAACCAGCGTGCTCATTGTATCTGTTGCGTCGTATGCGCCGCCCTTTTTCGCCGCCAGAACCTGGCTCGGCGTAATCGAGTACGACGGCGGCACGTCCATCACCGGGTTGCTGGCAAAAAAGTGGCGCGGCCGCAGCAGCAGCACAATCGGCTCCGCCGGCATCACGGGGTAGTCCTCGGGCGCGGGGAAGTGCGTCAAGCCAAACGTGTGCCACAGCACCACGTCCGTGTTCACGACCGAGTCCGTGCCGGCGCCGATCCAAGCCGGCAGCCCCAGCGACGGCTCGCCCGACGTCTGCGGCACGTGCCGGCCAGCCGGGTACAGCTGGTCGTCGGCGTACGCGGTTACGTGCACCGTGTGGCGCGCAAACGCCGCGCGCTTCCACACGAGCGACTGCGGCTGCGGCAGCAGCATCGGCACCTCGCGGCTCACCAGCTTGTACGAGGCCGGCTGGCCGCTGTACGGGTGCACCGCGTTCTCGTTAACCATGTCCCACGTGCGCATAGTCGCCCAGTCAAAGTCGGTCTGGGCCTGCGCGGCCGTCTCGAGCCGCGTGCGCTTGGCGTAGAACGCATTCCCGTACGGGTTCTCGGCGCTGCCGACCGGGTGCGGCGACGGCACCGCGTCGGCCGTGAACACGGAGTTGCGGTGTCCGCCGTCCACGTTGGGGTTGATGCGCAGGCAGAACAGGTGCTGGTGGTTGTGCGCGTTGACGCCGGGGAACACCTGCGTGCCCCAGCCATGCGTGTCCTCGCCCCGGCCGAGGACGTAGGTGTTGAGGATGCCCGTGAGCCGCACGTTGGGCTCGATCGTGCCGTCTTGGTGGAAGATCCACTGCACGGCGTACTCGTAGTTGGCGGCCGTGAAAATGTGCTGCACAACCAGCTTGCGCGCGCGCGTGACCGTCGTCGAGTCGTCGCGGAAGTCGCTGTGCTTGAACAGGATGCCGTCGTCCTCCTCGTGGATGCACACGGCATTCTTGATCGTGCGCACGCCGCCCGCGCGCGTCGGCATCGACGCGTCCAAGTAGGCGATGCTGCCCTTGCAGTCGCAGCCCAGAGACAGGCTGTTGGACATGTAGCCCGCGCCATACTCGCCGAGATCGAACGCGTGCTTGCGCTGGTGCGGGTGCTCTGGGTTGGCGTACGGCACCACCATCTCGGCGAGCGACATGCGGTAAAAGATGGGCCGCGCGCGGCCGTTGTCGACATAGCGGATGTTGTTGAACACGGGGCCTTCGCGGTAGTTGAAGCCCACGTGGAACCGCCAGTTCTGCCACGACACCTCGTTGCCCTCAATCAAAAACGACACGCCCTCGGGCTGCGAGATGTTGATGGGCTTCAGGTCTGTGCGGTAGCCGCCGCGCGCTTCTTGTGCCACGTGGTGGTAGTCGAGCGGCGCCACCGTGGAGAGCGGTCGGCGCACCTTGGGGATGTCAATGGCCACAATGGCGTCCTTGTTTCCGTCGTAGATGGGGCAAAAGTCAAGCGGGTATTGGTACTGCGTGTTGTCAATGTCTGGCCGATAGTACATGAGCGCCTGCTGTAGCCGTGTGTCGCTGCCATACCGCTCGTCGTAGCCAATGGTCCACGGGTCGCAGTAGACCTTGTGCATATCCTCGCGCGCCACGCCGCTCAGCACGCACTGCTCGATGACCTGCGGGTTCTGCCGCACCACTTGCTCGACGTGCTGGAGCTCCTCCATGAGAATCTGTCGGGTGTTAGTAGGTACATGAGCAAAGGTATGTTGTGTCTAACAAAGCTGCTGGGTGGGCTCACAATCGGCTGCACGCCCGACAGCTTCTCCCAGGCGGTGATCTTGCCGCCGGAGATGTCCACCAGACCATCGTAAACAGTACCCGCAGGGTTCTCGATCACGACAACTTCAGCTACACGTGCCGGTCGCGGTGCCGTGTCAGGCGCATCCAGCCATGCTGTCATGGCTGCCTTGCGCGGCTCCTGGAGTGACACCACATGGAAGAGCAGACCGTCGCCGTGGGCCTTCTTGACGAGGGCGACGGCCGTCTCGATTTCGGCCGGTGAGAGGGGATCAAAGGGATGAGGAAGAGACATGTTGGGGATATGGGGTACAATACTATGAAATGACAAGGAAAAAGGAAGCGTCGATAATTTAAGAAGAAGGCTCGACGATCGACGTGTGTTGCTCGTGTCTGTCAGAGATTTGGATGAGGACGGGATGGAGAGTCTAGAAACGTCAAACTTCTTCTGGAGAACCTCTTCTTTAAACAAAACAAAGACGTAAGGCACGCAGAGATGCGAAACTACAGATTGAAGACGGCTAGTTTCGTTTCGTCAAGACACTCTCGGCTGGTCGACATGCCTTTAACGCCTTCATATTATATTTTAAAGTTTTGTCTGCTTCGTCTTCCCCCCGGTCGTGGACCACCAACGGGTTGCATCTCTTATCGCGACATCTATCCTCTGGAGGAAACGTCCACTTGCTCTTTCTCCGCTTTATTTACGAGGGTGGCCTTCAGAAGCTGCAGATAACAGAACGTGCCCCTCTAAAAGTGTCACTCCAAACCATCAGCATTTCTGTACGATCTGGAGATAGTACGTGTAGATAAAGATAAAAGATACCGCGCCGCCAGCGAATCATCTAACACGACCGGCGCTTGCCGCGTTCACCCACTAAACGACAGTTTCGTTGTCTGCCCCAAATTCTAGTTGTCAGCAGAGTTACTCACTAATACCACAGACGCTCCTCTTCCACTGAGGGCAGCATAATCGTAAATAATTTCCTAACTAGGTAAAGGCAGAGATTCCTCGCAGCACTACTGCACGGCAACCCACTTATTCCCCTCCAAAGTCCAGGCCCCAATGCGCTCCTCCATTCACTTGGCCTTGGCCCTTCCCCAGTCGTGCTTTGAAGCTCCAGTGGTATTTTGACATCTCCTCAGGTAATGCCTCGTCCTCTGGCTGGCGAGACTGTTCGAGCCTGTCTCTGTGCCATTGAAGTGGAAAATTAATCATGTAGTATCATTAGACCTATATGGCCACGACATCATATTCCGTGGATCCTTCGTAAAATGTCCGCAACGTGAGCTGCGCGACAAAGTGTAAATGCAAAATGCGCCACCCATCCCTCCAAGAAATCCCCGCCGTAGTAATCCGATGAGGGTGAAATGCGTGCTCGTGTAGCCAAACTCCTATGCCATAATCGTCTCCCAGCCGTTCTGGATCATCACATCCATCCAGTACACGTCCGCTTCGCCGTCCATTCCCAATCCTCCTCCGGCGATGCACTTGGCCCGCGCCTCCGCTTGCTGGTCCATTTCCACCCATGTTTGCTTGACAATCTTAAGGCAGGCCTGGATGGGCTTCGGCGGCAGCACGTGCAAGAAGGCATTCAACCGGCTCTCAATAAAACCGCGCGCCCGTGTCACCTCCACAGTCTCCATGTCCAGGTTGAGCAGCGCGTGCAGCGGCAGGCTGGCGCCGCCCATGCCACCCACTGTGCTGGGGATAGCGCCGCCGGGCCGTCGCTTCTTTGTGATGCGCAGTTCGCTCGACAGAGCGACAAGCAAAAACGGCTGGAAGTCGCGGGTACCCGACTCGATGGGTATCGTCTTCATCATTTCCAGACTGCGCAGTGTGTACGACGTGAGCCACTTGACGCGCTCCTCGTGTGTAATCGCCGGCTCGTCCGCTGCGCCGTTGTCGTCCTGGAACGACGTGCCCAGGTGGGCGTAGTCGCCATTGGCACCTCGCCGTTCCCGTCGTAGGCGGGCCGACAACAAGTCGGGGAAGACGTGGTAGATCTGGACAAGACCCGTGTTCCGAATGATCTCAGCCAACGTGAGCAGGTGCCACACGGGTGTGTTGCGGTCTTCCGTGTCCTTGACCGATTGCTCTGTCGGATGTGAAATGTTCACAAGGCGCTCCTCCAGCTCTCTTGCGGTCGCCATATCCTTCTTGAGCTGGTTGATGTGCGCCATGGAGGCGAAGCGATGCGCGTAATTGAATTTACGTTGCCGCCGGATCAAGCGGCCGACCTTTAGAACTGCCAGCTGTGTCTCCGCACAGAAACCCGTCCAGGGATGGGGCACACGAGGTCCGGGGATGGATTGGGGACCGAAATGCCGTTCTGACGAATCTAGGCGTTCGTCGGGGACCGTCGATATGGTGTCGTCGTCTGTGACAAACGCAAGAAGCATTTCCCAGTACAGCATCGACTCGCGGAAGAAGCGGAAGCTGCGGTCACCGCCTGCCTCGCCAAACGTCGAGGCCGGCATAGTGGAAAGACACGCGGCAATCTGGTTGAAAAACGGCAGGCCGAGATCTCGAGGGTCATGCCAGCTGGAGGTACCACCCAGCATGAGAATCGCAAGCATCGAGTTGGCGTCCCACTCGGTAGTCTTGGCTAGCAGCTCGGCAGCTTCTTGGCGCAGTTGGCGGCCGATCGACGCGACCTCTGGGAAATCACGTACAAGAGACGCTGCTGCCATGCTTTGGAGGGTGCAATAAATGATTCTCGATGAGTTCCAAGTGCGCACGACAGCCGAACGGAAAGGGTTCATGCGGCTATCGTAGCACGAGTATACCTGTGCTGTCACCTTGAAGTAGAATTCAACAAGCACAGTGCTGATATCGTTCAAAGAAGTGATCGAGAGGGACGGGCTGCTTTGGCAACCCTGAACGGGGGCCAGTTGCAGCGCCTCTGAAGCCGGCGATGCGTGGCCAAAAATCACCTCACTCACGTTTTCGTCTACCTCACTGTCGGGCCGGCTTTCTACATGGTAGGAAGGCCGCGTGGTAGTATCGAGGGCTAAACTGGTGTGGCTCGGAAGATGCGGCCACCTTCCCCGAAGGAGTCCATCGAGTCCATCGCTGGGCGCGGACGTAAGGTCATCCGGAGGTGACTCAGTCGATACCCGGTGCGGAAATCCATCCGTTCTCGAAATGTACTCCACGTCATCGCCGTTTTCGGTTGCTAACGTAGACGGAGCTGTACTGCCCTGCTGTGCCGTAGACATCATGCTTGGCATGGCCATGCTCGTGCCACTTGGGAACCCGCCAGTCCATGATCCATCAAGCCCGGCGGTTACCATAAGATTGCTATGGAGCATCGCATCGCCATCCAGTGCCTTCTGGGCTGCAAATAAGGGGTTGTTGATGCCCATATATATTTCGGGGAACTCATGGACCGGCACTGGAATGTGGTCGAAAAGGTTGGCCCAAGCCACGTTTCGTGGGTTACTCGAAAGGTTGCCGTTGAAGGGGACAGAATGGGGCATGGTCATCTCAGGCTCCGGGCTGCCGACGCTAGAGGTGAACTGTGTCGTTGGGCTCGTCGTACTCGTGCCGGTTCCCATTGGCGAGGGTAGAGGATGCTGCTGGGCGCCGTCTGCCGAGGAGGGACTGTGTTGCGACCGAGGGGTTGTGTTCTGTCGCTGTGGCTGTTGTCGGGGGGAGCTTGCGAAATCGTGCGCCTGCGTAGGAGAGTGGACTTCCTGTTGCGCGGGTATCGGGGGCGGCGCGGGAGCTGCAGCGGCCGGCGCATCGGACGTCTGGGCCTGCTTGCGCCGAACCTGCTGCTTCTTCTGACCTGGCTCGGCCCGGAAGACCTCATGTTTCGCAGACCAACGTAATTTTTGCTCGTACCCGGGGCATTGGACACCTACACGTACGCAGCGGTCGCATTCCGGATGCTGCTCGTCACACCGCACCTAGGAACACGAACGTCAGCAAAGGCAAGTCGAAATAGATACATGAGCAACAGGACATGGGCTTACCCTCTGCTGTTTGCATCTGGAACAGCCATTACGCGAGTAGCCATAATACGCGCGCGTCCGGCCACTGCCGTTGGCACCGCGGGCCGTCTTCTTCGTAGCAGTCTCCATGCTGACTAGTGAGAGGAGACGAGAGAATGTCAGGAGCTCCGATAGTCGGGGGATCCAACAATGGCGGAAGCAGTTGTTGTCAGGGAATCAAGAAAACAGTCGCCATCCTCAACGAGTGAAGTTTGCTCTGATAAGATAAAGTGGTTGCGTCAGCCGGCCAGAATCGCCAGCCAGGAAATGCAACGCAGAGAAACAGACGGGTTGGGAAAGACCGAAAGAGGGGGCTCGTGGGTTCTCTACAGAGTATGCAATTGCCGAGACGGTGAAACCGCTGGTCGGTGGAGAGGTAGAAGGTGGAATTGGATATCCCGGAGCTGCTCTCAAACTGGGGTGGACAGAGAGGTTGAGTGCGAAGATGACGAGACACAAAGAAAACGAAAGGCCGTGATGTGAAAATTGACTAGGTCATTCGTTTCGGGGGATTCGACAATGATTCGGAAGGGGCATACGGCACTAGCAAACACCTGGAGGAAGGCGCGAAAGCGAGCAACAAAGGACTAACAGTCGGATACCACCCTTGGCACACACGTGATCTCCTAAGAAATGGAAGATTTTAGCGTATGCTCCCCAGGATCTTTCAAGAGCCTGGACCGTGCCAGAAGCATGGCAACATGGGTCGTTCTTTCTTGGTGCTTCTTTCCATCTTCGTGCCTGTCGGGCCTGCGTCAGGAAAGCTTCAAAGTGCGGCTTCCCAGCCGTATTTTTTTGATTTGTAAACCCCAAAGGTCGTGACTGCCTCTTTGTCGTTTTGGCTGCTCCTGCGTGCAAGGTCGGTACCCGTTCGACTAGTCAGTTGTAGAAGGCTCATGTTTTTATTAGTCGTTATTTCCTGATTAGGAAAAAAACATCGAACGACAAATTTTAGGAGTCCCCAGTTTTGCTTAAGACCACCAGGTCACATGCTCGGAGACGCTCCTGATCAAAATGGAAGTCACGACCGTGCGACAACACTCAAATCCAGAAATGTTTTGAATCTACTTCGACGCATACTAGCAAGAAAGGCAAGATCGAACGGCAATAGATGAGCGAAAACGTGACCTGGACCCTCCTTTAAACGAGAACACCATGGCCCCTTTTGCCCAGGCCGCAGAATGAAAACAAACGAAACTCAAACACAACAGTAACGCAAGTGAGGTATCTAAACATGCGGTTTGTATCATTGCCCAAACACTAAACATACCACATCACAGCTTCTTTAGGTCCGTCTTGAGCGGCAGCGTCTCCGGACCAGCCACGACAACGCCGCCGCTGGTGACGGTCACCTTGGCTTCGGTCGTGCTGACGCACACTTCGACCTGCACACTGTACTTCATGTACCGGTCGTTCTTGTCGCCATACTCGACCTGATTTGACGCCGGCACCTTGTTCATGTTGCAATGCAAGATGACGATCTTGGCCTCATCTAGTGCTGTTGTTAGCGGCTGTTCCTGAGCAAATGAAGCACTATGCACAACCTAGAAAAGAAGGAAAACACACCCATGTTGAGCTCCTTGAAGCGTCTCGGGGCGTCGGACTCGTGCGATGCCACAAACACAATATCTCGATAGACCTTGGTCTCGGCAGCGCTGCTGCTGTGGGCGGCACTGTTGCGTTTGCGGGATGAAAACGAAAAGGACGACGTGGCTAGTGCAAAGTCACTTGGCCGCAACAACCAGTGACAGTTGTAGGTGGTGACACGGTCCTTGCCAGGCTGGATAGCGTCATCCTTGCGAACGAACCACTTGACCTGGTCGGTGGCCCATTTAACGCCGAGCGAGTCGATCTCGAAGTTGTCGCCCGTGTTGCGCCAGCCCGAGTAGAGCTGGCGTGTCTTGACGCCATAGTAGCAGGGACTGCGGGTGATGTTTGTTGGCTTCTCTGTGAGGAGGCCCAAGCCTTTCATGACGGCACCCTTGGACACGGCACACCAGCTGAACGATAATGGTCAGTGAGGTGGATTTAGAGAACGAGAAGGCGAATTTAGAGCCTACTTACCAGTCCAGGCCCTTCTCGACATTGATGCCCTGCTGCCCAGCAAAGTCGGCAACACGGGAGAAGAGGTACTCGCTGAAAGATGTTAGTTTGAACAGCCAGAGAAATACGTTGTCAGTGATACGTTCAGAACTAACCTTCTCGCAAAACCGCCAGACAAGAAAATGCTCTAGGAGACCGTCAGTGCCTATTGTGAAGTGCGGACTAATATATACCCCGACGTTCACTTTGACATACCTTCACCTTACGCCGAGGAGTGGCGTTGTCGAGCGAGCTGATCTGGGCACCAATCAGAGCCAGCGTCTTGTCGACTGAGAAGCTAAACATTTCGCGAATATCGTCGGCCGTCAGCTCCAAATTGCCGTCATGGATTCCGCGGTCGGCGCGATCCTGGATATTCATGCCACGGGGTAGTGGAACAGCCTCAGCCAAGTTTGTGTCGGTGCCCGTGAAACCGTGCTTGACGGGCAGGAAAGCCTTGAACACTTCCATGCCGTCCTTTGTCCAGACAAAGTGGCCACCATCGCCGTACATGCCGGTACCGACAATCTTCTCGCTGTCGGCAGGATCGAGACGTCGCTTGAGGGTCTTAATGAAGCCCTCATCAACATACGTCGAGCCACAAGCAAAGCCTAGAGGTGTTAGCGAATTAGCGAACTATTGGTGTTGGTAAGGGTGCTCCAGCATACCAGAAATATGGCCAACGGGCTTCATCATGAATTTGTTCTTGGCAAAGTCAATGTCGGTGATTTGGAAAGATGCCAGATCCTAAAGCAGCCACGTTAATGAGATTGGCCTTTGTTAACAATTTTCGAGGTCACGCCGAAAAAAAAAGACATACGACTGTACCACCACCAGCGTCGACTACGATGAAGCAGTCGCCTTTCCGGAAGCGCGCATGGTCCATCTTCTGTGCGGCTCGCAGCGTGTAATGCGCGCAGGCCTCTGGCTCAGACACAAACGACACATTGCGGATCGTCGGAAAGCGGTCCCCAAACGAAGAAATGGCGGCACGGTAGGTCTTGTTGAGGGCCTCTTCGGACCACTTAGCAGGGTGTGTGATGACAAGGTCGATGGGGATCTGTTCGGGCACGGCGCGGCCCAGGGTGTTGATCATGTCGTCGTACGTGACGTCGGCGATGCGCTCGAGGTAGTCCTGCACAATATCCTCGGCGGTCTTGGCCAGATGGCGAGGGATGCGACCAGCAATCGCATTGGCGTCGTTGAGTCGCAGAGACGCCAGGCCGTGCAAGGTCTGCGTAAAGGTGGTGAGCTCTCGGCCACGGTCACGGCTCTCCTGCAGTTCCAGCTTCGTTTTCGATAAGACCTCGGAATCGTCGTCGATGCTGTAGCCATATTGCAACAGACGGTTCTTGGAGTTGGAATAGGAGATCTGCGAAGGCACCTTGACCTCGGAGGCACCGGGCCAGTTCTGGACGACATGGATGTCGTTGAGGTCGATCGGACGACCGACGGACTGGGCATACGCAACACCCGTAAAGGTTGTGCCGTAATCGATCGCCATGACAATGCGTGCAGCCGACTCGTCATCGGCAGAGTCGCTTCGTATCACAGCACTTGCTCTCGGAATTGCTGGCCGCGCAAGCGGCACGCTCCCCAAGTCGAGCGCAGTCCCCGTCGGGCTTCCTGGTGTGGCAGCAGCCACCGTTGTCGGCGATGAATTGCCGGCGGTTGAAGCTGTTGTCGGCGCTGCGAAGTCTTTCTTGACTTCCTCTTTTAACCGAGCGCGACGTGCAGCCACCCGGGCATGCGGTGCCGGGAGGTCGACTACCTCGTCATAGTTCATGGTGCAGCAGCTAGGAAGAGTCGAAACGGGAAAAACAGGTACGGAAACCAAATATAGTTTTGAAGGCGATGTTGGACCGAGATGACCTTCGATCGCGACAATTCAACGATGCAAATGGGTTGAAATGGGTCACAAAGAAGAAATCGAAACAAAAATGACGGAAGATACAAAGCTTGAGGAGGAAGACGAAGATAATCAACAAGAACAGGGAGAAACAGCCGAACTATGACGATGCTGCCAAAACATTCCCCTTCTTGCTAAGCTCCAGAGCTGGCTGAATGAAAGAGTGCGCCAGACAACGAGAGGCTCTGGTGTCGCCTTGGGTGGTGGTCATCTCAAAGCGTCGCCCTTGACTCGTGTAAGTGAGGTACTTGCCGCTAACGACACCCCCTAGGACCCGCTTTCTAAGGTGCGGGTGGAGCCTTGAGCCGAGCTTCGGTGCGCACAGTGACACAGTGTGACAGCCGCTAACATGCCGCAGTGCCAATATTTAGGCGTCCACTTGCATATGGGCGGCGAGGCTGCGCATCGACCTGGCCTGTCTGGGCGCCAACAAGGCACACTCTCGGAACAGTAAGGGTGACAATATGCAAGCAGAGGGAGGATGGAAAATATGGAAAGAAGGACTGCCAAAAAGGCAAAACACTGAGCGCTGAAAAAGCCAAACACAGGCGACAACCGGAGAGGCTGTGCTGGTTTGCCTTGACGACCCCGCAGAATAGGAAGATACTGGTATGAATGTGACGCTCATACCTGACAGCGACGACAAGAGGCTCAACAGCACGGCACCAGTGCATCGTTGTTCCGCATGGAGAGCAATTGGGATAGCGGCTGCACGACAGTACTCGGTACATCGTACACCCCAAGATTTCCTCTAGATCCCTGGGCCCCAAAGTGTGAGGAAACACTACACCCGCCTCTCTTGGGTCGGTCTCTCTGTCGTCACTCGTTTTTTTTTTTCGTCGCCAGACATCCTGTTCACAATTCTATACTGCTCTGGTTAGCAGGGCAGTCGTTGGACTGCTGCTTCAATCCCATTTCGAGATTGGCTTTGTCTTCCTTATCAGTTGAAAGCCCGAATCATTCCTTGGAGGACCAAGTGTAGGGGGTCATCCACTGCATTGTTTGCCTATCACCACTCTCTAACATCTTTTCTCTTTTCACTTCCCACCAACACATTTCACTTTCACTTCTCCCAGACGGCCAAGGCCCAAAATGTCCCTTCGAAATTTCCTTCAAGGAAAATCGAGCAGCAGCGGTAATGGCGGCAGTGCCGGTGGCGGCGGGGGTGGAAGCATAAATGGAGGAATGGCAGGTGTCGGTATTGGCAGCGGAATGCCCGGTGGGATGCCCGGCGGAATGCCCGGCGGCGGGATGATCGCTGGTACTGGCTTGAACGGAGAAGACGGAGGTGACGGGACCGGCATGGCTCACGTGGTCGACGGCGGCCAGCCCGGCATGGCCAAGGCCTGGGAAGTCGAGGCTCGGGAGCAACGCATGCGCGCTCAGGTTGCCGAAGAAGCACACCTCTACGGAACACAACAGATCCTTACCTACCTCAAACAAATCGGTGCCAGCCCAAAACGCAACGGCAACGCCGTGGAGCAGATCCTGCTGTATTGCAACGCGCTGATAAAGGAGCGCCACGCCACCGAGAGCGATGCGAAGCTCAAAGCCCGCAAGCTCGGTGAGGCCACTGCCGAGATCAAGTTCTTGCAAGGCGATGTCAAGGAGGCGCTCAATGACAAACGCCTAGCCGTGATCGAAGCCGAAAACTACCGCCGCAAGTACAAGGAGAACAAGGAGAAACTCGAAAAGGCCGACTTCAAGCGCGACGAGGCCGTCGCCAAAGTCACGCGCCAGATGAAGGAAGCCGCTGCTGCTCACGTCCTGGACAAGCAGCAGTCTGAGGCCCAGCTCCGCATGCAGCTCGGTGTCCTCGAAACGCAGATCCACCGCATGCAAGGCGAGCACCAAGCAGCGCTGACCCAGCTTGAAGCCAAACACGCCGAAAAACTCGAAGAAGAGGAGGCCAAGCACAAGGTGGATAAGAAGACGCTGCACGACGAAAAGGAGCGCGAGATTGACGAGATTATCGACGCGCACGAGGCGGAGGCGGAAATTCTTAAAGAAAAGATCCGCGAACTGGCGTCCGACCTGATCTCGCAGACCGATGACTTCCGGCCAGCCACCGACCAGGCTCTGCGTATAAAACTGCTCGACCTGCGCAACCGCATCAAGAACATTACCGTGCCTAACAACCTACACCTTCGCTTAGACGGCGGCGGGAAAGGCAATGGCGGCGAGGGCGGCGCAAATGCTGCAAACGGCGGAGACAGCAATGCAGCAGGAGGCGGCGCCTCGGCCCTGCATCAGTTGCCAGCCGATTTGGATCCCACGGGCTTTGTTGCCCGGCATGGGTCACGCGATCTTCAATACATCCTGCGTGGTCTCGTGTGGAACGTGTTGGTCTCGGCCTTTTTCTCTGCGCCGTTTGGCTTTGGTTTCTTGGGGCCAGAATCCCAACGAAACCCTGGCCGACAACAACTACTTGAAATTCATCGCTCATGGATCCGACTCTACGAAGGACAACAGTCGTATCGTGAGTTAACCCTCGTTCCTTTTTTACCTTTTTTTTGTTGAAAAACCCACCTTTTCACATACTAACCTAGGCAGGCTACGCACATGATACCGACGAGTTCGCCATGTACAGGCGCGACTACAATGCCAACAAGCTACGCTCGGCCATCTTTCAGTCCTTCCTCCCCGTCGTCTTTCCGGAAAAGGCTGCTGCTCGCCAGCAACAGATGGGATCTGCACCTTCGTCTGACCATCAGCAGCAGCAAACTCTGACGCTGCAACAACTGCCACCACTGCCCTCGACACAAAACCAACCTCACCCCGGTGACGCGTCCTGGCCAGGCCAGTACCAGGCGTTCCAACCGGGCGGCGGACAGTCCGCTCCGCCACCCTACTCGGCTAGTGGCTCTCCACCGCCGCCGCCTCCACGACGTTCGGCTGTCAACAGTTTGAGTGGTTTTATGGGTGGTGGTGGTGGTTCTGCCGAACCGGGTATTGCCGCGTGGCACCGCCAACACTGCGAATCCGTCGTCACCAGCATCAAGCAGTTGCTCGACCGCATCACCGGCTACGCCACCCGCCCCGATGCGCTCGAGGCTGTTCCCGCTATTGTCAACCTCGCGGCCGAGCTTGGAATCGAGTTTGGTGTCCAGCGGGCCCAGGTCTGGCTCGTTATGCCGCAACGGAACGAGCTGGTGCAAGCCGGGCCCGAGTACCAGGATTGTTTGGGCGGTGGCAGCGGCGCCTCCGACAGCAACGACAAGGAACACGGCCGCGATCTCAAGGTCGATCTCATGGTATCGCCTGGTATTGTGCGCATTGGTGACGGCCGTGGCGACCTGAGTGTTCGCAAGGCCCTCGTGCCATGCGAAGTGTTTCCATTTTCATGAGTTGTCTTTGTAGAGGAGGGTATCTTGATGTGTAGTTTTTTGCTCTTCTTTTTCTTTTGTTTTTATTAACGGCGAAGCATGTTTGACTTTTCTATTCCTTTTTTTTTTACTTTATTATAACTTGAATGACACGACCTTGTTTTGTAACTGTAAGGAAGGTGGGCTATTTTAGATGAATGCCTATTACTTTTACGTTCTGCTGTACATCCCCTTTCCAGCGAACGTGCGAACTGGCGAACGTTTAAATTCCGATAAGATTTTTAATAAAATGTTGATTAACTATGGAATTATTTTATTACCTTTTTTACAATTTCATTCGCATATTTTCAAAATAATTAAGCACCTAAAATCGACCAACGAAATAAATGCAGTGCAGAAAAACGAAAGACGGTAAGCCCGTGTAAAAGAATGAAGACTATGCAAGAATAATCAGAAGACCCCGAAACGCTACATAAACAAAAAATGAGGGTATATCGCGATGTGTGCAAAATGACCACAAAAGAATAGAAACAAGAAGTTGTCTTCCGCTCAACTACAGGGCAGCCCCTGACCGCAGACTGGCAAAGGTCGACCGCATGCCGGTCTCAATGTGCCGCACCGGCGGCATGCTGTAGCCGCTGGGACAGATAAAGACGTAGCGCACGAGCACGCGCGACTCGTCTGTCACAATGTGCGTGCCCGCCGGCGGCTTCTTGGCTCCCGGCGGCAGCGTCGAAAGCGGGTCGTCCTTGATAAGCTCGCAGCCCAGGAGTATCTTTTTCATGCTAAACGCGCTCTTGGACCACGTATTATTAAGGGTGCCGCTGTAGCTAAACGATGTCGACGGCTCGTCGGCCAGGTAGATGCCGGGGCCGTTTACGGCACCGTGTGCCATGTAGCGCGTGTTGGACATGTTGCGCAGGCCCTCGGTGAGCACCTTCCACATACGCGACGTCTGCGAGCCGTGGAAGACGACATCGCCCGTGCGCGGGAGCGGCGCCGGGCGCGCGGAGCCGCTGCTGGCGCTGTTTGTGTTGTAGGATTCAAACGCCTTTTCGCATTCGGGCGTCGAGTTGTATAGCAAGAACTGGTCAACGTCCGACATGATGGACAGCCGCTTGCCCTGCGGCGCCGACAGCATGCAGCCGCGGAACCACTTGCTCATCCAAGCCAGCACCTGCTCGCGTTCGTGCGACAGGTAGTTGCCGAGCCGGATCTTGTTGAGCAGGTCAAACGGCGTCATGGTGTCGTCGGCTTGTAGCCGCGGGAACGAGTCCAGGATCGTTATCAGCCGGCTCTTTTCGTAGGGGCAGTCGGTGGACAGCAGCTGGAGGCCTGAGTTGTCCTTGGCCGCCGCGTACAGGCAGCATAGCAAAAAGTCCAGGACGGGCGCATCAATGAGCAGGCCGTAGGCGCGAACCAGCAGCCCGGACTGCGACATCTCCTTGATGCAGCCGTCTTTGGTACAGATTGTCGGCTTCCACAGGCCCGTCAGTTCATCTCCACAGGCCGTGCACTGCGACCCGGGCCGCCGGATCGTCTCGTTGGTGAGGTCGTAGACGCTCTTGAGCGTGACACCGCCTAGCAAAAAATGTCGATGAAGCCGCTGCGCCAGTGCATGCGTAAATAGGTTGAAGCTGGCCGTACAGATGCGACTGGTCGGTTTGCGGTGGGCGTTGGACTTGGGTCGCCAGTACGTGTGATTCGTTTGTTGTTTGAGTTGCACTTGCAGGCCCTTTCCCAGTTCGTGCACCGTCTCGTGCGGCACGAGGTGCACGCAAAAGCCGTGCGTGCGTTCGGCGCCATTTAGAATCACCCGCACGGTCAGGATGGGGAAGAGGTCGCTGCCGATGCCACGGACTTTCCGGTCGTGGCCTTGCAGGTGCTTGAGCGGGAAGCACAGCTCGTACTCCTTGATGCCCACGCACTCAATAGCGTCGCTCAGGGGCTCGGGGATGTCCGGGTCAATGTACGGGCGTGTGCCCTGCATGCCGATGCGATTGGCCAGCGAGTTGGTCCGCGTACTATCCTTGCGATCCAGCTGGAGGCGCAGCCCCTCGACCTCGCGCGCCTGCTCAATGACACGGTCATACTCTCTGAGCATCTTGTTCTTGATGACATTGAGGCCGTGTGGGTTGAGTGACGGCTTGATGCCCATGAGCTCGCCCAGAAGCGTGATTGCGTTCTTGTCGCCTTCAGTCAAGTCCTTGGACCGCCGCCAAGCCAGCATGTACGCTTGTGTGGCGCTGTCGGGCCACCCTTCGTGCATGTAGAACCGCTCCAGGATCGTACGAATGCCGTACAGGCCCTGCGGGCTGCTCTCGTCGTGTGCCGCCAGGCAGCTGCAGAGCGTTGTGATGCTACTGGGCGACGAGTCGAAAAATGACAGAATCCACTGCGGGTCATAGCCAAGCGTTTTGCGGCCGACAATGGTGCTTAGCAGAGCCGTCACGTTGGGAATCTCTTGGAGGTACAGCCACTTCATGGACGCGATTCCTCCATTCTGGCGCCGCTGCAAGCGATCGAGGTACTCAACACCCACCAAGTATTCGCTCTGCAGCTGTTGCCACCACGTGAGGCGCTGCAGGCTCATTCCGAGGCTGGCCAGAGCGGTCATCTGGTCGGGCCGGCCGTTGAATACGACGCGCATGTCCGTCACAAAGCGGAACCAGTCCTGGACGGTGAGGTTGTCACACGACCAGACAAGGAGGTCGTCAGCACGCTGTTTTAGCATGAGCATCATCAGCGAAATCCACACGTCGTGCACAACCATAGGGAGCTCGATACGGCGGGCCAGGATTCGCAGCATGTCGATGCACGACACATGGGAGTCCCGCTCAATGAGGCCCACCAGATCTCGGAGCAGCACGACATCTTCAACGAGAATCTGCAGGCGACACGCGTGCAAGAACTCCATGTCTTTCATGTAAGCCAGCTTGCGGATGATGCCCAGGATCCGGTTGCGCTCCACGTCTTGGTGAGTGATCCAAAACTCCTGTTCCCCGTCGACCGCTACTTTGAGTGACGCAATCTCCTCTTCTGTGCCTGTACCGCCCAGTGTGGCCAGCAGGTAATCCTTCAACGCCTTTTCCACCGACTCTGTCTGCGGCACCTGCAGGCGCGACATGATGCCCTGGAAGACGTCCTCGGGTGGGAAGCGATCGAGACCAGCAAGGAACTCGGCCGACACGAACTCGTTGAGCCAGGGCGCGTACCTTATGGCGCGGCCGTAAGCTTGGATCTTGTAGCTAAGCGTGTCGTTGGTGCTGCCAAACAGATGGGTCTTGTATGACTCTTGCGCGGCCTCCATTGTGGGAACGACGATATCGATGATCCGACTGGCAAAGACCTCGCGCAGGGCCGGGTGCCGCTGTAGCGTAAGCAATGTGCTGGAGAGTGTCATCATCCTGGCACTGACACTGGCGGTGGGCGTCAGAGAGTTGACAAGGACAATAGCAGCAGTGCAGCACTCCGGATCAGCGATGCGGATAATTGTCTCGGCGAACGTTAAGGAGTTGTCCGTAGCTGTGGTTTCGATGCAGAGACGCGACAGCAAACTAATGGCTTCCGGCCCGATCTCCATGGCTTGGAGGAGGAGCTGCTGTAGACGCTGGATCAACGCCACGTCTGCAGGCTCGACTGCCACGGTTTGGAAGCATGCAGGACCGCAGTCTTTGAACGTAGGGTTGCCGGTGCGTGTCAGATCAGGGCCTTCCAGGTGGAAGATCGGCCGAAGTCGTGCGAGATGCTGGGGTGTGAAGTTGTATGTCTCCCACTTCTGGAGCATGGCTTCGTCTGGCTTCCAGCTGGCCCACAATTGCAAGTCGGGGATCTGGCCCTCAAGAACCTCTCGTGCAAGCTGGCATTGCTGGTTTGAAAGGTACTCGTGAACCCACGAAACGCTGCGGTAGAGGCTGGCAAAACGACACTGGTTCTGCAGCATATGAAGATACAGTTGGTAGGATTGGGGGATTTGGCAGAAAGCGAGCAGCCGGTTGATGTACTCGGCCGGGAGCATCTGCGAATTTGGAATCGTCGATAGGGTCGCTATCATATTGCGGAAAATTTGGAGGGGATCTGCGTAGCCCAGTCGAATTTGCAACAGATACTGGGCAACCTGGGCTTCTGGCACAGACACATATCGTGGTGCGATGCTACTGGCGACGACGAGGCAGCGCAGATATCTGGTATAGCTTGGATTTTCTTGGTTGTCACCTCGCAGAGATTTGAGTGCTGCGATGGCGGTGAACGGCGAGTACTCCAGGGTGCAGGCCAGGATGGCAACCTCAGGATCGCCATGCTCGTTTTGTACATGGTCCCGGATGAGCTCGTCGATGTGCCGGTTGCGCTCGTCGGAGTTGGCCACGAGCCTTTTCCGGTTGAGATAATCCCTGGTGAGCTGCAGAAGCGCCGGCGGGAATTCTATTAAGCTGCCATCGTCGAGCTGTGCAGAAAGGTTGCTTGCAAGGAGCTCTTTGTGCCAGGCCGCCCGGAGGGCCGAGGACTTCGATATGGTGATGATGGGCATGGTCGTGTGGTGGTAGTGAGGAAAGGACGAATAGAGCCCGTTCCAGGTCGTTGATTATGCAGAAAGGAAGCGATGCTGGGTGTCCCCGGTTGCCAAGATCTAATGTAATTCATAAAACAGTAAAGAATGGCACCGGGTGGCAAGCGTGAAGGAATGTTTTTTAAGAATGTGTGTCCGTCCTTCGTCGAGATGGTGATACCAACGAAGGAAAGTAGGAGTAATGCCGAAAAAGTGAAGTGAAGTATTGAAAAGAGAATACCTGAAATCACTGTAACAATAAAAAGAAGGAAAGAAAGGGCAGTGTTAACATGGATTGCAAATACAAGTGGGTATCAAAATGCCGAGTACGGATGTCGAGTTGAAGGCGTTGCGAGGATTGGAATCAGGACGTGGGCTGAAGGCAAGAAAGTTGGAGGTTAGGGAGTTGCAGCTCGGGGCCGCATTCCCACGGACAGATTGAACAAAGAACAAGCGAGTAAGAGAATTACCAATAGAAAACACTTGGGATGGATCAAGGCCAATATGAAAGGTGGAAACAAATGAAGAGCAACTATGAAGGGAAGACAGGCAGAGGGAGGACGAGTGCATGGAAAGTTCAAAGTACACGCTCCGAACAGAAGTTTGTTTGTTTGTTATGTTATGAGTTTTGACTCGTGCTGCTGGTAACAGAAGCCAAAGCAAAACTTGTCGCGATAAGGGATGCCTGCCAGAATATGCCAGTGGAAAGGAATGCACAAGCAAGGTTCGACTCATATGGCGAGTCACCGACGAGGCCACCTCAAGGCAGACTGTGAAAAGCTCGGAAGGGCGCTGATTCTCATTGGGACATCGGTGTCTCTAAGAAACAAGCTTCTGATATCCTCACAGCCTTTCGTTCTATCCACTGTTTGCGCCGCACAGAACGCTGCGCAGCCGGCGTCTTTTGGCGGCTCGCTGTGTTATTGACCATGCTCCGAAGGATGGGTGACAAGGCATTGCCTGAACTGGCCATAGAATCAAATAGGCGACGAGCACTGTAAAGTGCGATATCTGACGCCGTACTGTGTACAGACGACACAGTGCCAGGAGCTAGGAAAACGGGACGGCCAGAGCTGGGGCAGACTAGGGTATCTATACCATTTAGAGTTTAGTGCGCAAGGCTCCTTGACGGGGCGTTTCAATAAATTCCAGCCAGTCGCCAGGGAGGGGGAGGGGTGCAATTAATACTACCACACGAGGATAATAATTGCGCAGCCGAGCTGTTGTCACCCACCAACGATTGAGGAGGCTTCTGATCTGTTTTGGCCGCATCAGGTTGGTCGATTTCTCCTCATTTGCCAGCTGTGCAGTCGGTGGCTGAAGTTACGATTTGGACTGGTAAACCAAAGAGATATGAGAAGCAATGTGATTATTGTTTTGGTAGCGCGTTGAGGAACAATATCCCTGTCGCTTGGGGAGTAGGAACGAGGTGGAGGCGGGTAGGCAAGGCGAAATGGGAAGAAAGCCGACCGTATGATGCCGCCGATGTCGAATTATGCTGGATGGAGGCCATAGGTAAAAGTGGCCAGGCCACACTCAGTGTTGTTCGTTCGAGCCATGCACACTCTCGAAGAAACAAAGCCGTTTATTGTCCACGCCATACTGTCGTGTCTGTGAAAGGTCAGCCTTTTTTATACATTTTTTTTATAATATTGGCACTGCTCTTGAAACGAGAGTACTTTGAAGAAAACAAAAAGAGGGTGGAAAAAGTCACGAACCAAAGCAAGAGAGAGCAAGCACTTTTCCCTCAATACGACATCCATATACACAACCTCCAGTTATGTCATCGTCAAGCGCCGCTGCAAGAACAGCAACGACCGCAAGCACCACGAGCCGCGAGTTTCTCGACGAGCTGTACGAGCTCCTAGAGCGAGACAAGAACAAGAAAAATACCGTCATCCTCGAGCTGATTCTCCAGCAGTGGCAGCAAATCGGCGACGAGCGTAGGTCGACCTTCTCTTCGTGTTGTTTTTTTGTTTTACGTTGTGCTCTAACCGTGGAGTAGAAATGGCACACGGAGTGGCTGAAGAAATCTTGAAGCGAGATACCAGCCATCCTGGCGCACGGGAATATATTCGCAAATCGTCGTCTCAGGTCACCACACCCGCATCGACAATCTGGTCGTCATGGAGTCTCGGCACATCCTCTCGATCCACATCCGCCTCTTCGGCGTCGCGTCCCGATCCCCTCCAAACACGACTACCCCACCGCCCACCACGCGGTGGAGGTAGCACAGCCGGCACACCGGTCATAAGTGAGACGGGGTCCGTCTCGACATCGAGCGGCACACGGCACCTCGACCCCAAAGCTGCCATGGCTGCGCGGCTACCTGCGTCGTCCGGTGACGTGCTTGGGGCGAAGCGGAAGAACAAGCGACCTGTCCAGTTTGGTTCTCCCCTCAGCTCAGAGACGGAGCGGCTCGCGGTCGAGGTGAAGCTGGAGCAGCAGTTTGCGGACTTGCAGGCGCGAGCTACGGAGCTGGAACGCGAGATGGTCGTTCTCGAAAACGTCGGGCTCGTTGACAATGCCGAAATCTTCCAAGACACCCGCAATATCAAGCACGGACGCGTCAGCCTGGTCGTCATGCCTGCTATGCCGCGGCCCGTGCGGCAGCTCGTGCGTGAGCTGCAGGGCGACCGGAAGCGGTGCTTGGACTTGATCATTGACGACTTTGTGGAGGTCGCACAGTGGTCTCTCGAGGACGACACCACAGGCAAGCCACATATTGACGTGGTGCGCGATCGGCTGCTGCGGCGGCAGACGCTGCTGGACGCCATGCTCCCGGCAGGGCTCGAGGACCTGGGCCGCACGGCCATGATGCTCGTCGAGCACCAGCTCATCGACCACGGCAAAAAGTATGCCAACGACAAGACAATGCTGTTCGAGGACGTCGCCGACATCCCCGTCGCCAATCTGTTGGTGACCTCGGACAACTATGCCTGGGACATGTCGGAGCTGGCGGACGCGCTGGCTGTCAACAGCGGCGTCATGCGCAACCCCATTACGCGCGACATGTTTTCCGAGGAGGACGTGCGGCAGATCCTCAACCACCCGCTGGGCGAGCGCCTGCGGCCCATGGCCCTCGAGCAGAGCGAGTTGAAACGCGGCGTGCGCTCCACCACGATTGACCGCATGGCCCACCTCAGCAAGGTCATGCTCGAGGACCAGTCGGCACACGCGACGCCGACGATCGAGGCCATTGACATCTTCATGGCCTACTTCCACACGCTGCCCGACGCCGAGAAGCGGACACTCAAGTCGCTCAAGGTGCCGGCCAAGGACAGCCACACGGGACAGGCATATGACTCGGCGATCCTCGAGGCTATCCAGGACGCCAAGGCAAACCGGGTATGCTACCATAAGGTGGGCGATTTCCTCAGCCAGGCGGCCAAAAAGTTGCAGGATGACTTGTGAGGTGAATGTTGGATAGTGTACAGAAAGTTGAACAGAAACACCAAACATCAACGAAGAGGGCAAGGGAGCCTGAAACTAAGGGGCATGACGGGGCAGGTCACCAGTTTGTGCAAACGGAGGAAGGCGCGATGGAAGCCCACGCTCGCTTCAGATTTGAGAAGGAGCAAACGGCGTTCGGGTCTCAAGCAACACCAATAGGTTGATTACTTATTTGTTTCATGATCTTTTCTGTTTTCTACTCGTTTCTTTTGGGCTGTCGGTTTCATTCTTTGGTTTTGATTTGCTGCGGAACATCTTTTTTAAAGTGTAATACCCTTCTCGTGTCTTGGTCAGTTGACCAGGCTATGATCATTATGAACTACCGTTTCTATTCACATACGCACAGCTGAAGTATTGACGTGGTCATTGTATTTCTTCAAACTTAAACTGCATAGCCAGGCCACGACAACGGTCAATCTATGAAAAGAACGGAAAACACACATTAGGCAGGTTTAGGAAAATGCGACTGGAAATGGCCGCAAGAGACTGATTGGAACTGTCAATGGAAACACAGCACGTAGATACGCAACATATACGGATAAAAAAAAGAACAAAACACACTCCAGCCTGACTATGCCTATTGCAAATGAAAATAAAAGGACGGCGAAAAAATGGAGAACAATTGAGACCAAAATACGATTAAAGAGACATGGCGTTGATCGACCGAGATATTCTTCGCACCCAAATAACCAGACCAGGCGCGTGGGAAATGCAAAGCAGTAATAAAGAGAGAGGCACAAAAAAACAAAAGAAAAAGAAGAAGAAAAAGAAAAAAAAAAGGGAAGAGAAAAGGGAGAGAAAAGGCACCATCGCCACTCAAAAGGCCTCGCCCATACGGCTGCGGCCAACTGTCTTGAACGATTTGCTGTACGGCATGTACTGACCATCGAGGCCCATCGTGTCGAAGCGACGCAGGCCGCTGGTGCTGACATCCATATTGAGATTGGTGTAGCCACTAAAGTAGTAGCCGACGATGACAACCAGGTAGCTGAGCAGCAGGATGCTGCCCTTGAAGTAGTTGCTCTTCCCCTCGCCGTACATGTAGCTCAGGAGGAAGACGCACAGGATGACTGTGACCATGTCCCACTGTGGGAAGAGCAGAAAGAACGTGAAGCGGGACAAGTCGTCGCCCAGGTTGGCGGCTGGCGGGAAGCTGGCCGAGAACAGCACCAGCGCTGGGATTTGCAGCAGACACACCTGCAGCGCGTAGGCGGAACCAATCTCCATGGACAGGGCAATGTTGCCGTTCATGGCAAAAGAGATGGCGTTCAAAAACTCCGTTGTGTTGGGCACCAGGGCGAAGAGGGTGATGCCCAAAAACTTCTGGTCGATCGAGAACCCGTCGAGGACAAAGTCGACAGAGTCCACCAGAATCTCGGCAATGACCGCGTACAGGGCTGTGGCGCACATGAGAATGACGGCCGACTTTCGCCGGCTCCAGTTGGGGGCATCGTGGCCGCCGTGCCCAGCCTCGCCACCGCCCGGGGCCACCGGCTCCTCACCAGCTGCACCCGCAACAACGCCAAGGCTGGCACCACCCTCGTATGGGTCATGGAAGGGAGCCGTGCGGACGGTGTTGGTGCGGATGGTGTTCCCCCCGGCCGTGCTTCCGCCACCAATTGTGCCTGTCGTGGGAAAAGCTCCGCGAGCCGATGCGCGGCGAGGAAGCCGGGCATCGCGGGCGGCGATGGTAGCCGCTGTAGCGGCCATCTCAGCCACTTGGTGCACCAAGTTGTCGCTCTCGGCTTCCGTAAAGCCGGCGATGCGCACAGAGGAGCGACCGTCGTCAGCCGTCGTGCCTGCGGCCCCCGACGACTTGGCCGTAGTAGAGGATGACTTGCCTCCGGATGTGGCTGCAGCACCAGCATCGCAGTTGCCTGTAGAAGAACCACTTGGGCCACTGACAGAGGCATCCCGACTCGCCCTGCCGTCTTGGCGCGGCTGCAGTCCGACCTGCTTGAGAGACTGGCCTAGTATACGGCGGTAAAGGTGGGAGTCGCGAATGTCCACACCAGTGGCGTCACCAGACGTGCCAGTTGCGACGGCGGTCGACGTCACATTATGACGCGGGGCCGTGCCTGCGAGCTCTTCCTGACGCTTCTCTTCAATCTCCGTGTTCCAGATGACGGCGGCATGCGTGCGCAGCGTGAACCAAAGACCAATGACATACGACAGGAACAAGAGACTGGCGGCCACATAGCAGTAAGGGCGAACGGCCTCCAGGTAAAAACGGTCGTCGATGGAGGGTGTCTGGGAAAAGAAGCAGCGGCGACAATCACTAGAATCGCCGCCACCCACACCGACCCCATCGCCATTGTTAATACAGTCCAGGCAGTTCAGCTCGTGCGTACCGTAGATCTGGTAGAAAAGGGTGGGACTGAAGGCGCCAATGACGGCGAACAGCAACATGGTGGAGGTGACACCAGCCGAGCGGGCGTTGAACCGTTGTGTCTTGCGCTTGATGGCGCCGAAACACATGGACAAGCCTGGCAGGAACAGCACACCGGCAAAAATGCTGCCGACGATGCTTCCCTCGACGAGCTGGGACTTGCCCTGGTTGAGCGCCACGCAGTACAGGAACACCTCGACAATGGTGGAAAAGAAGGCGTTAATCGCGGCACCGACGCCCATAGACGACTGGGCAGAAATGGAGGCGACAGCCTGGCCAATGAAGTACGCCAGCGGGATGATGGAGAGCAGGGCGGCGACGAAGAGGAAGGCGGACGACGTGATAAAGCTCTCCAAATGCAGGATGCCGTCGAGGACCAGCCAGTCAAAGATGACAAACATGACCACGGCCATCAGGTTGATCAAGAAGATGTTTGTGCCATCGACGGTGTACTTCCAGTACTTGGCACCCACCGCACGGTACGTGCACACAATAATGGACGACTGGGGTGCTGTGGGAGCGCGTGCGGTGGCAATGTCCGACTCGAAGGTCAGGGCGAGAGGATGCCGCCGCAGGTGGTCGAACAGCAGGATGGTGACGCGGCCCATGGGAATGGAGAAGACGAGGAACCAACAGATACCCGACACGATGAAGAGAGCGGGTGTAATCAGGATGTAGAAAAACAAGAAGAAGATGACGCGGCCAATGTTCCACTGCCCACGGCCAAACAGGCGACGTTTGAGGCGAGGCAGCTCAGCATCACTGTCTCTGCTTGCGTCCTCGTCGTCGCTGTCGTACTCGTCGTCAGCACCGTGTCCTCTATTGTCGGCGTGGGCGTGAGCGTGTCCGTCGTAGCGGCCGTGGTGACGGGTAGCCGATGTACGGTGCTGGATGAGGCTGTCGGTCTCATTCGGCGCGGAGTCAAAACTGCGGCGCGAGCGGCCAACAATGGAACGGTTGCGCTCAGGCCCGAAAAACAGGCGGCCGTACTCAAGGTCACCGTTCTGCCACTGTTCGTACTCGCTGATACTGCGGCCTTCACCCAGATCCTCGTCCAGGTACGCCTCCTGCTGCTCAAGACGGATAAACTTGCCAAAGGGATAGAACAGATAGCCGGAGAGGCCCCAGAGTACACGGCCGTATTCGCGGCCGCTCGGCAGGCCGGCAAAGATGAGACAGACAGCAGCACCCAAGAAGGCCAGCAGCGCTAGCCACATTCCGAAGCACAGAGTCCACATGATGTTAAAAAAGAGCAGCCAGTTGTGGACATGGCCGCCGGGCGACGAGTGAATGTCGCCCTCTGCTGTCTTCTGGACGGACCGGTCCTTCTTGTACAGTGCAGGTTTCCACAGACGGATACCAAACGGGTGAGTCTCGTTGATGGCCTGCTGGCGGTCTTTGAGCGTGAAGCTCTCGGCATCACTGAGATCGTCGTCGTTGTCGTCGTCATGGTCATCGTCATCGTCACCGCCGTGGTGGTTACCGTCTCGGTCCTCGCCGTCGAGATCGTCGCCTGCATTGCTGCGGTCGATCACGAAGCTGCGATCGATGGTCTCGTCATCCTCCTCGTTGCCGTTGCCATCAGCGTCGATGCCTGTCGAGTCGAAAAAGCCCGGTTCGGAGGGGTTGGCGTTGCTGTAGGGCGTTGTCACAGATCTCGAGGTCGTGGAGGTAGGGCCCACCGCTGCTTCGCCCTCCTGGTCAATGTTGTCAGAGTTGGAGTGTATGCGGCTCAGCGGCGCGCCGGTACCAACGACGCCACGGCGGCGTAGTGTTGTGGGTTGCGCGTAGGTGTTCTGCCGTTCGGCCACGTCGGCCTGCACCTCGCTTGGGGCGTCATCAACCGAGAACACGCTGCCACGGTGGGGTGCCTGGACGTTGCTCGAGGCACGTCGTGACAAGGCGGGTTTGCGAGGTCGTGAGCGACCACGGTCGGGGCCGAGAAGTGGTGAGCGGGCCGCGGCAAGGATCGGAGTGTTTCCAAGTCGTTGCGGAGGCCGGTCTTGGGTGGGTGTTGGGGAGTTGTCGAAGTATTGGGAGGAGCCCTGGGACGTAATTGTGCCTTGACAGGTCAGCGTAGAGCTATGAAGGGCAGAATGAGCAAGCACAAGACAGCATACCGTAGGTCTCTGGTCGTCGACGGACCGTGTCGGTTGACTGGAAGCTCTCAGACAGGTTGTTGCTGTTGTTGGTGTCGCCTTCGCGGCCCCCAGCCAAAGAGGTGAAGCGAGTAGGCGCGCGGGTGTCGGTCGGGGACGGGAGGGCCGACGAAGACTCGCCGCGGTCGCGGTCGTCGGCATCCATGGTGTCACAAACCGGCTGGGACAGGATCCAGAATCAAAAGTGCTTGCGTAGTCGACGGGATCGGATCAGACGGAGTGGAAAACACAGGACGTGCGGCGCAGGGGATCCATAGACGGCGACGTAAGCACGATGCAAGATAAGCCGTCAGAGTCGACGTTCGATACGAGTCAAACAGGATAGCGAATACGGTCGTCGTTGGGGTCGGGACAGCGTCAAAATGTCGTTGGAGAGGTCGAGGAAAGCTCTGTCGAGCTCGATCGAGGTTATCGAAGTAAAAAGAACGGACGAAAAAAACGAGAGCAATGACGCCCGAGAAAGTAAACAACAAAAAATGGGACCCAAGGGATACGAGCGAGACTAGCTGTAATTAACAGTATCCGGGGTAAAGTGATGGGACGACAAGAGGGACACAAATAAGAAACGAAAAGGGAGGCTGTCGATCCAGAGCGAAGGCCGAGAAAAGTGACGAGAAGCAGAAAGAGGGAAAAAAGGAAGCACAAAGTACTCCCGACGGAGGCGAGGTCGAATGGCTCTTTGTGCAAAGACAGATTACGACATCCAGGCTGGGTTGCTCTTTCTCGTTAGGGAAGAGAGGGACGGGGCTAATTACGGACGGGCCAAGCAAGCTGAGCAGGATTGCTCGGACGGGAACCGCGCTAAACGGGAAGGAGATGGCGCGGCATGGCGTGACAAAGGCTGGAGGCTTCGGCGTAGGGCTCGAGCTAGTTTACAAGGGCACATTAGGGGGCTGCTCAGTGGTGAAAAAGGTCGCGTAGGGGAGCTCGTTCAGGCTCCACGTGGGTCAGCTATGATGTATCGTATCGTACGAGGCGCTAACAGGCGCTGTTTTTCGAGCTTTGGCGGGCTTGCTTAGCGGCCTGGCCAGGCCAACAAAGCTTCTTTTACAACCCGCGCCAGACCCAACCAAAGTATTCTGTGCGCAGATTCCAATTTGGCCAAATCCATCATACGACGAAGACGACGACCACAATAGCAAAACGTGGGACAGATGAATGTACGATAGCAAGACTACGCCATCGCCCGCAGCCCAACTCTTTCGTTACCCCGTCGTATCCGCATTCTCGTCCGAATACCGCCATGGCATCTGCATCGTCCGCCCGCCGCCGACGCGGTGTAACCCCTGTCGACGCGACGACGACGACGACGACGACGTCTGTGTCCTCTACTGACGCCGCCTCTGATCCTTCCTTTGTCCCGACCGCCTCGACGACGTCCTTTTCGCCGCTCGCCGTCGCCGCTCGCAATGGCAGTCCCGCCGTGCTGCTCGCCGCGCTGGCTCTCTGCTTCGGCGGCCTCACCGGCGATCCCAAGGTGCGGCAGGCCGGTCTCGATGCCGACGCCGACAGCATGGCCATTATCACACTGGCCGGCCTGTTGGGCGTGGCCACGGTCGTGCAGGTCGCTGCGTCCGTCGTGGGCCTGCCGCCGGCCGGGTCCGTGGCGCCGGGTCCGGGGGCGCCGGCCTCGCACACCGGCGACAGCGCAAAGAAGCAGCGCAAGGCGCGCAAAGACGGGCGCAAACCCAACGTCATCGTCACGACGACGTTGTCTCTGGTGCTGACGGCTCTGGCGACGCCGCTGGTGCATTTGGTGCTGGTGCTGTTTGGGGCACCGTTCCTGGCACAGATACGCCGCACATTCTTGTGCGCGGCGCACCTGGCTGTGCTGGGCCTGTACCCAGTCATCTACACGCGCGGCACAGACGGGACGGGCGCGTGGCGCGCACTGGCGTCGGGGTCGCAGACGGCGAAGCAGCTGGACGCGGCTGTAGGTGGTCTGTGGGGCGCGTGTGCGGGTGCATGGCTGGGCGCGGTGCCGATCCCGCTGGACTGGGACCGGTCGTGGCAGCAGTGGCCGATTACGGTGGTGGTGGGCATCTACCTCGGACATGCCGTGGGCCGGACGCTGGGTGGTGTGCTGCAGCGTCGGTAGTTTTAAGAGGCCAAGGAAATGAATGAGAACAGCATTATGCAACAAAGATGGGGTTGGGCATATATAGAGAATAGAGAGACACAGAGCAGTGCGAAAGGAGTGGAAGGACGTGCTTGGTTTGTAATGGTGGCACGCGTGTATTCATAATAGACTGTAAACAGTAGCCCAAATGCCTTGTATAGAAATCAATTTCTTGTGTTCAAGCCGACGTTGTCCTTGTAAGAAACACATTTCATTCCCTTACGAATACGTCTTCTTGACGCTCCCTGGGTCCGCAATATATCATCGCTTGCCAAAGAAGCAAAGCTTATAGCTCAAAATAGAACCGTATGTAGAATCAAATAAAGTCAACTCAAGCCTGACAAAACGAAAATCTCATTCACCTATCAAGGCCGATCCAGCGCTGCCCGAACAACCTTGCTTTCCCAGCCGTTCCTGACCCGCATGACGTTGGTAAAGACCTGTTCCAGCATCCGCAGCAGGCCGACAATGGCGTAGAGCTTCGCCCAGCGCCGCAGGAAGAAGCCGGACAATGTCTTGGTGTTGGGCGGGTGGGCCGTCGGCGGGGCCTTGCCCGCAGTGCGCCGAAGTGGTGTCAGTTCCGAAGCGGGCACAGCACCGTCTTCGTCGCCGTCTTCGCCGTCCTTCTCATCACGCTCCCACCGCTTCCGGACGTCAGCAAACTTGGGCGGGTCGTCCGTAATGACGCCCTCGACGCCGTTGTGGATGCTCCAGTCCATCCACTCTTCGGAGTTGACGGTCCACACGAGGATGCCACGGCCCTTGGCGTGGGCTTCACGGATGAAGCGACGGCCGCGCGGGCCGACCAAAATCCCCTGCAACAGGTTGAAGTAGCCGACACAGTCGTACTTGAGCAACTCGTAGGCGTACGCGAGGGAGAAGCCAATGTAGGCAATGGGGAAGCCGGGCAGCTTATCCTGTGCATGGCGCATATAATTTGCCTACGAATGATGTTAGTGACGTCTTCCTTTTTTGTGTAGACTTGACAGCACGCCGCTGTTGGGGGAGAGGCGGGGGAGGGGGGGGATTGACTGACCTGCCAGCATCCGAGCACAATTCGCCTGCTCCAGTCGCCCGGTGTCGCCAAGATGGTCTCGGCCATCCGCGTCACCAGTTCTTCGGCATCGTCGTCCCGCTGAACGTGTTAGTGTGCATATTCTTGTGTCCTGAAACCATAGAGAGTCAATCCGGGGGCAGTGGTACCTTGATGTCCAGCAGCACCCACACGTGCTCGCGACCCGGCTCCGACAAAAAGGACAGCAGGTCCGTCAGCCGCGCCATAGGCACATGCGGGTCCTTGGTCGTCCGCAGCGTCTCCAACAACGACCAGTCGCAGTCGGCAATCTTGTCCGGACGGCCAAAGCAGCGCTTGAGCGTCGGGTCGTGCGACAGGACGACGACCTTGTCCTTGGACAGGTGGACATCGGTCTCGAGTGCGACCGCGCCGCTTGCCAGCGCGCCCCGGAATGCTTCGACGGAGTTCTCGGGGAACTTGGCACGAAAGCCGCGGTGGGCAATGTTTTGAGGCAGTCGTTTCTTGCCGTCCACTGTCGGAATGCGAGATGCTAATGACGTTGGCGTCTGTTGCTGCTGCTGCTGCTGCTGCTGCTTTGTTTTGTCGAGCGAGAGCAGCTCGGGCGAAAGAGGTGCCATGGGTGTAATGGGTGTGGACGGCGTCGTGGCCGAGCCGCGTGATTTTGCCGAAGGAGATGGAGAGGCTGAAGAAGGGGACGACAAGGGAGATACTGACGACGCGCCTTCGGCGCGAGAAACCAGAGAAGAGGACATTTTGGGGCAGGCGATCTTGTATATGAAGACCGGAATAAGAAGTATATGTTGCCGCTGTCTTTTCCTACCCAGTTTTGTCGCACAGGCGTAGTTTTTGCCAGGTTTATGGCGTTGAACGGGTCTGGTGGGACGGAATAAGAAACAAAGTCGATATAAACCCGACTCTACTGGGCTAGGAGGACGCGGCCGATCTCTCCAAATGATGTGTTTGCGGTAGACGGGGTGGCAGCTCCTCTCCTCCTCGTCGAAATACCTGCTAGTTGTCGTCGTTGCTGTTGTACAATATCCTCCGAAGCAGAAAGTTGACCAGGAAAATTGTATGAAAGCGACTTTGGGGCCTGTGATGCTTCACGTCGTTCAAGTGGAGATGATAAGGACACTCCTCGCTTTTATTGACATTATTCTTTTTCTTCTAGGTTTGCAGTGTCCAGCAACTGCGTCGACAGACGCCACAGGCCACTCCTTTTATTCCAAAGACGAGGCTCGCCAAGCACAGCGGGCAACAAGCTCCCGAACCCGCCGGCCACTACCTCCATTTGAAGCTGAGCTGTGCTGGTACGAGTAAGTTACCCCAAAAAGCCGTATCCAGGCGGTTTTTGGACGGCATCTCCGACAGCATACCGACCTAACACAACGACGGCTTCATACCGACTTTTGGGCTGCACTAAACAGGGAACCTCCCGGAGTTTACTGTTGACATGTCCGTTCCAACGCCAACAGAACGCTGCCTATTTGTGGCGTATTGTTCGAAACCACGACAAGCCATATGATACAATGATGGCTCTGTCGGGGCTCCGGCGGTGGCATAGTGCAGAGGCCCGCCTCTGAAAATGTGGTGCAGCGGTGTTCGGACTCTTACATCGTCCCGGTGCATTTCACTAGCTGGTTCCGGGTGCTTAAGCATACAGGACTTAAGCATACAAGACGGCATGCACTATTGGCAATGTCGCCACAGCCAATCACTTGCGCACGCTCGACATATTGTAAAATCGGCACTGCAGTCTCGTGCTCCGTTTGGTAGTCTTTTTTTCCAGCTGTCCTTGCCACTCTGCATTCAAAACGTTTTGGCCCGCGAAAAGACGCCCAATATATTTGACAAGGACCAGGGTAATAATGTTAGATATTGCGGAGTAAAATACGTACAAGGGCGTAAGGCTGTTGTAGCCTCGTGCTAATCGGTGACATATATTTGCAAATGCTTGTCTCGCCGGTTGCCTGTGCTGGTATTGGTTGGCTTGGGGATACGGATTATGCGAAGATCCTTCACTTAACATTCTGACCACGCAGAGGATGGGAAAGGAAAGACAGTATCAAATATCGTTTTGATGATGTTTCATTGAAGTACGTTAAAAAATATGAACGTAGAAGTTAAGATTTCGGTATGCGCTCATGAGATATGTGGACCAAAAGCAGAGAAAGTTGTTTAAAGCCTAAAATGACTCAGTACAATTTACGCAGTTTTGAACGGGAAGCGACATGATACGCATACGGCATGACCATTGCGGATGACCACCATTCTTGAAAATGTGCATTTCATCATAGGTTAGGCCAGGACATGGATGTGAGTTTGCAAACTCAAGCTCTGCGATTTCAAGTGCATTGCATAGATGGATTACATTTATGAGGCACATGACCACCACCAGCACGGAGAACGAGAATTGTGTAACATAAATGTAAATGAAAAATTGTATATTAAAAACAGGCCCACAAAACGCGACCTTGACATGAGGTATCAGGTATCAGGTATAGGTTTGTCATGGCCCTTCGTATTCCAACTCAACAAAAAAAAGCGGTACGACGAGAAATCAAACCAGAGAGATCCTAGCCGCGCATTCCATTCACGTAAAATCCGTAACCCAAATAGTCGTTAGATAATCCTTCGCCCCAGATAAAATTAAATAAAAAGGTGGTTTGCGAACTCCGGGAGACCAATAAAGTGGCCAAAGTCGAACGTTGCCGTAGTTTTGAAATTTGTGACGTTGCGTAAAAGGTGTTTTTTAAACGTGACCGAAGTCCTCATTTCCGAAGAAAGCCATAAAAAGAAAAGAGTAGCCCATGCAAGACGCACAACAATATAGACCATCAAAGAATAAACACAGAACCGCCACAAGAAAGGGACATGACAACAAAAATCACAGGACGAGACCGTCCACATTGTAGCTCTCAGGGCCGTTGCCTAGAACAATGCCGGTGCTGCGGTAAGGCAGGCCGCCCATATCGAGGCCACCGAGACCAAGGCTGGCAAGGTCGGCCGAGTTAAGGTCATCGCCAGCCACCGAGCTCATGCTCTCGTCGCTGAAGCTCAGCACACTCTGCGCCGGAGCTGGGATGCTGCCGGGCGGGCCCTGTCCGCCAGAGCCGGCCAGATCAGAAAGCGTGAAGCCACTCAGGTCCCAAGACTCGGGAGACCAGCCGTCGCCAGACTGCGACGTTGCCGAGGCAGGTGTCGTGTCGGTGGCAGCCGACAGGCCAATGTTCGGGCCGCCGTAGATGGCGTCGTACACGTTCATGTGGCCGCCGTCCATGGAGCTCAAGAGAGCCTCCCAGTCGGCAGGTGTCACGCTGGACGGAGACTGCGACTTCTGGTTGTGGTTGTAGAACTGCGGCTGCGACATGCGCGGCTGGGCAGGCGAGGACGGCGCTGGAGACACCGACATGTTCAAGAAGTCGAGGTTGCTCTTCTTCTGCATCAAGCGCTGGTGCTGCAGTTGTTGAGACTGCGGCATGCGGTTGAGAATCTGCGCTTGAGACATAGACATGCGCTGCTGTTTGGGCAGCTGAACATGCGCGCGTGGGCTGTCAAAGGAAGAGCGAGCACGCGACCGAATCTCCGAGTCCAGAGTATTACCGCTGACGGCAGCGCTAACGACAGGCATGGTCATGCGGCGTAGCTTCTCCTGCTGAACGAGGAGGTCTGTCTCACTCATGCTGGCACTGTTGTGGTGACCAAGAGAGAACTGCTGTTGCTGCTGTTGCTGCTGCTGCTGGCCCTTCCGTTGCGAGCCACTGGGAGACGGGCGGCGGGCAGGCGCAGACATGGACGGTTCGGAAGGTGTGCCGGAGGCTGTGTCGTGGACGTCGTCCACAGAGACAAGCATGGCAGCTACGCGCTTAAAGTCGTAGCAGCCAGGGGCTTTGGTGCGGTCGGAAATCTTGACGACCGTGTTGACAAGGCGTTCGGTGTCCTTCATCATCTTGCTGTCTTGCTTCAGGTCCATGCTCTGGTACAGCAGGGTCATGCCGCAGACGATGAGGAGATCGGGCTTGTTCATGCACATGGAGAAAGCCATCTTGCGCTCCTCGAGCAGCTCGATGATCTGAACAATGTGCTTGCTCGCCTCGCTGACAGCCATAACAGCAGAGGCCGCCTTGGCACCCAAGCTGGAACCGACGGCGGGTCGCCAGATGAGTGTGCGGATGTAGTAGTAGGTGAGAGATAGGAGAGGGGAGCGGTTGCCAGTCACATCCGTCGACGGCTTCTCTTGGCGGAACGTCAGGGTGAGGTGAGCCGGCAGGGCGTCACGCCACTCGGTCAGTTCAGACTCGAGAGAAGCCATCTTCTGGAGAGACAGCTCGTGGGTAGAAGCGGCTGGGTAGTTGGTGTCCAGGATCTTGGCAAGGATCTTTGCAACGCGGAAAAGGGCGAGGGCGGCCGAAAGGCGGGTGGACTCGCCAGGGAGTGTCGGCTGGAAGCCCTTCTCGGTGACATACTCGTCATCAGTGTCGGCAGGGTACTCGGCATGGATGTCGTCGTCATTCAGCTGCCGGGGCAGACCGAGAATGGCAGCCGAGAAGCAGTCAAGAGTGTAAAGAGTCCAGAAGACCTTTTTGCGGGTCTCAATGGTCAGGGCACCGAAAGAGAAGCGTTTCTGGCCCTGGTGCAGGCCCAGGCGATGGGAGAGACCAATGGCAACGCCCTTGTAGTACTGGAGGCGCTTGTAGTCGGCGCGCATGGAGCAGTATAGTATCGCAAGGACCAGGCACTGCAGTGTGATGATAGTGTTATCCATGAGGACGGCATCGAGCGCACGCTGCCACTGCTGCTCGCAAGCAGCAACCTGCTCCGGATCAGGTTGGTCGCTGGAGAGACCGGCAATGGCAAAGACAAGATACAACTGGGCCAGCTTGTGGTTGTTCTTGACCTTGTCTGCATCGCTGACAAACTCGTCGTAGATACGCAGGAAAGCAGGGCGGTGCAGGATGGGGAAGAGAGGCGACCATTCCTGGAAGTAGACGTTCACGCACCGGTCTGAGAACAGACGAGGTGGAGCACGCATGCTGGACGCGGGAACCTTGTTCACTAGCGGGTAGCAGCCTTGGATGTGCAAAAATGTCTCTGCATGAAAGTCCGAGCAGGACTTGCCACCCTCCTGCATTTTTCTCTTGAAAATATCTACAAATTGCGTTAGCGAGGAGCAAGGAGACAAGGACAACAGACGGCACACCAAGTGGCCACAGGACTTACCAATAAACGAGCGGCCGCTTGAGGAGCCCATAAAATACGAGTCGGAGTTCTCAACGCCGAGAACTAAGGGGGATGCTTGCACCCGGAAGGTATCCTCCTTTGATGCTGGTGTCGACGACGGCTTGGAGTCTCTTTTGGATGACTGTGCGGTTGCGTTACCATCTAACGAATTCCTTGGCGACGCGCTCTTTGCGACTGCTGGTGAGGCTGAGGACCCCGGCGACGCGGACGAAACGGATGTCGACTGGCGAGACAGGCTACCGCTGGCGCTGCTGTCATTTGTTGGTGAGGACGAGGCAGAGGTTGCTGAACCGCTTGTTGGCGAGAGAGCGTTGTTTCGTGAGATGGATGCGCGGTGCTGGTTGCTGTGCATCTTAGAAAGCATATCGATCTTCTCGTCCTTCTCATCGAGCAGGTCCTTCAGCTCGCGGACCTCCGACTCCAGCTGGCGCACGCGCTCTTCCAAAGATTCCGTATAGCCACGGGGAAAGGCGCGGCGGCTAAGCTTGTCGCTGGTGCGGCACTCGAAGCCGACGTTGGCACACTGTGAACAACATGGCCGGATGCCATCGCAGCGAATCTTCTTGCTGCGGCAGCGATCACAAGCCTGGGCGATCCGACTCTGTGAGCTGGTGCCCACCTTTATTACTTTCATTGGTAATATGCCTGGCATTTTGGAAGTGTGAGGGCCGGAGGAAAACGAATATGAAAGGAGGGAGAAAGAAGATAAAATAACTGGATCAAGACCAGCAGAGTCCTGCCTTGCTAACAAATAGCAAGCAGCGGAGGTTGAGCGAGAGCGTGGTGTTGAGGCTGGCGCGCTCCGGTACGACTTTCGGTACTGGTCGGTAACTCTTGCGGTGAGTCGCGTTTGTGAGTTGAATGATCTGGATTTGACCCTGACTAGCGAAAGGCTATCTCCAACATAAAGGGAGCAGGCGGCAGCCTGTATTTTAGACCGCTCCTAGAGGAAATGTTGTTGGCTAGACTTGACTGGCGCGAAATGTCCCAACAAGAAAATATAGACGTCAAATTGTGCGGTCCGCAAGGTGCAAGTTGGCCAGGCCTGTGACGCAGTGTCACCTGTGAGCAATCTGCATTTGCGATTGAGCTTGTGATGTGCTACCGTTCAGCAGCATGCAGTAATAAGGATCGCAAACAAAGTTGACCTAAAAGCAGTTGGAAGGGAGGGCTGCGGTAAAATAAGCCGAGCGTCGTGTCGTCGTGTTCTGGTGTCGAGGATGTTTTCTTGTGCCTGCGGTTTTTTGCCCTATTTTTCTTACTGGGGATAGCCTGGGGTTTTGTACTCCGTAGTTTCGCGGTCCGTTGTCCGAAGCTTGTGCTTTCTTGGGCGGGTGGAACCACGAGTGTCCTTTCTGTTCATTCACAAGAGCAATTGGGTGTGCTGATGGCGAAAAAGTGGGCACCGGTCACAAGCCCACCTGTTGATAAAAGTGTCGATATCAATCGCGAAAACGATTCAGACGTTCAGGACGTCAGAAGCAGATGCGTGTTTGTGGCTGGGGAGCGGTATTGAGGATTAACGGCCGGGGTATGTCAGATGACAAAAGGAAACAGAAGCAAGGCGCAACGTCGAGAGGGGCGATGTTTATTATAAAACGAACTCGGTGTGAAAGGAGCAGGGGATGGGCACGAGGGCGAAGATAGAGCGGAGATGAACAGACGAAGAAGAAAAAGAAGAAATGCGGAGGGCAGGGGAATTAAAAAGGAAGATTTACCAACAAGCAAGACTCACTAAGGATGGGGAAATGGAAGAAAGGAGTAAGGAAAGAGCAAAGGACGATGAAGTGAATGGGGCAATACGAGGCAAGAGCAATCCAAGATAGGCGGACACAAGCTGTGAGGAAGTTTTGTGAGATTGGGGGGGTATGGCCGGGTGAATAGGGAAGGTGTGGGATGGGCAGCAGGTTAAAATGGGAACGAACGAGAAACACCAGGGAGAAACAACTATGGGCGACGCGAAAATAACACTCTAGCTGGTGAGTAGTGGGAAGGAAGGAGGGGCGTGCAGATGGGTGGTAGCAGTTGTTGCGGAGGCAAAAGGGGAAAGAGCGAGGGTGGAGGGTATGGAGAGAGTGCGGATCGAGGGAGGGGCGTGTGTGGAGAAAACTCAGGCTCAGACTGACTGAACTGAACAAGGGAAAATATTTATGACATTGGGGCACTGGACTTCTGTGAGGCAGTCCACTATCTGTCCGTTGCTATCACGATCCATGGAATACGGGGCATGTCCGTTGTTCATTCTTCACTCGGAATTGTCCAGAAGAGTTTTTACACTGATTCGTGAACGGCACCCTGGGAGGTCCTTTTGCTCTACTGTACTAAAATCGCCGTTTTCTTGATCACAGCTGGACTTGCTCCCTCCCACAAAGGCCGATGGAAAAACAGGTCGAGAAGTGAAAAACTATGGGGTGCCGAACGTTCCGTTTGGCGTTGAGGGATGAAAAAAATCAGGTTGAGAACAAACAGAAGCAAGTCGGATGGTGATTGTTACGTGCGGACAATAACGACCAAGAAAATAGAGGCTCTGACAGGGGCAAATGACCGAATGCCTCTACATACGGACTGCACAAATATGCCAAACCGAGTCCATCCCATGGCATCGGTTCAGTTTGCTTGGACGGCACTTGATTTGTTGCCCTCAAGTAGTAGTCATTGTAGTGCTTGGCCTCGCGAGTGTGCTCCTTGTTCGATCAAGCTAACGTGTTCTGCCTCAATACGTTGCCGCTCTCATTGCCATCTCTACTGCTCGGCGCGATATCTCGGATTTCTAGAAGGCAGACTCGCTTGTATGCCTAATATGCTCCCGATATGTTTTAAATTTGACAAAAAGCGGTAATAATAAATAATAATAAGAAGAATAAGAAATAACAGTAAATTGACGGCTGCGAAGCGAAGGTATGCTTGGCATGACAGAAGGGAACTCGCACACATCTCGTAAGCAGAGAGAGAGAGAGAGCCTGAGCATGGGCCCATAACCGTTGTAAATCTGTCTGTGAGGGAGAGGTTACAGCCTTCTTCTCATCGAGCACTTTATCCATCTATCGTGACCCATCAAAAACAGCCTCGAGTGGTTTGGTTTGGCACAAAAACAAAAGTAACAAAAGTAAATAGAAATCCAGATACCCCATATGCTAGGCCACAGAAGGAGAACAGGCGGAAAAGGACAAATGAAAAAAAAAGAAGGCCACGAGACAGACTCAACTCTACGCACGTAGAAACGAGTCCAGTCCAAAAGGCCCCCATTCCCTCCCGCCACTAACCCCACCAATGCAATTCCAAGCATTGGCGTCGGTGGTTGGAGACCGGTAGACAATGCCGTAGTACGCCATACACAGAGAAGAAATGTAGGATACAAAATAGTGTGGCTACCAAGGCCAGAAAAAAAAGGTTCGAAGGCTTCGAGGCGGTCCAGGGCGGGGAGAAAAATATCCCAGGCGGACTAAAGCTATGGAGAAACGAAAATGCAGGGTTTGCCAGCGAATAATTCCTCCACTAGTAATATGGCGTTATGCGCGACGAGTATGAGTGGACCGCGAAAGACGGCACCTCGAAGCGTTCCGTTGCGTTGCCCAAAAATATGGAGAGTAAGATACAGCCAGAAAGAGGATGTTTGCCAACTCTGGACGCCACCGTTTGCCAATCTAGGCTGGCACCACGCGGACAACGAGTGGCACAACTGGTTACGGGACACAAATTTTCCTTACTTGAAGATTCAACGGAATGCAAAAGAGAAAAGAGCGAACGTAGTGCAAGCTGGACAATCTTTAATGGCAGTACTTGTGCAGGTGGCTTCGCAACATATGCTCATTTATGGGAAGTGGGGTTCGAAGTTGGGGCGGTGCCTTAACATGTTAGAAGACATCTGGGGTACATGTGTTTCTAAGGTATCTTTGTCACTCTCGGATGTTGCTGGCGGTCGGTGGCATGATACAGCAGAAAAGAGTGCGGGTGCTGGCCTAATGCATGACCAGGTGAAGATTTGACATATTTTACGGGGAAGTACGGAGTCTGGGGAGCATCGTATGGAAGAGGTACCAAAGTACGGGGAAATTCCACGAACACACCGCCCAGGGATCGTCGTCTCAACGACACGAAAATTACAGTCTGGGCTACAAAAGGATCAACACCAAAATGTTGAATAAATGACGTTGCGTACAGACCGGCGCGCAAACACACCGAAGCGTAATTGGCGGCATGGTTGGGATGAAAGAACATGAAATCCGGGAAAATAGTTGGAAAGAAAGAATTCAACAAACGCTCTCCGCTCTTTAACGACGACAAGGCGTCTCCGCGTTACTTCCGCTCCACTAACATATGCCGTTGCCCCGGATTTGACGTGGAGATGTCGTGGTCCACCTACAAAATCTTGAGCCCTAGTGGATGTCGTCTGTCTGGCGTCGACTTAGCTATCCTGCCACCTGCTTGTCTGCCTGGCTCAAAGACACATTTCGTAGCCTCATTCGTGCCCACATTTCGACAAGTCGGAGCCGGAGTGGCACTTAAACAGGAAGAAAAAATAGATCCAAAATCGGACAAGATCAAGGAGACAGCACTGCGTACGGTAGTATGCAGTAACACAGATGGAGGGCTGCGAGTCGCACTGCTGCCGATGTCACAGATTTGGAAGCAACTCACCGCTAAGCGACGCGCCAGGCACACCGAGAAGAACGGGAGAAGGTTTCGATTCTTATTCGACGTCGAATTTCACATAAAGAAGCCATCAGAAGGAATCGAAGAAAGTGTGCGTGAGCAGATGTCCGCGGACCAAGGAGGGTGACGTGCAGTGACAACATAAATCGAAAGGTGCTCAAGACGAAAAACACCCCAGGGGGACGCGTCATGACAGAGACACATCCAAAAGGGACAGCACGGCGATTCCTGGGTGGCAAAGAAATCATGATGTTTGAGGCACATGAGGCCCCACAACCAGGTTTTGTGGAAAAAGGATCGAGAGCATAAGGAAACTACGAATGTATCGTCACTTTGTCACCCAATACGGAAGCAGCACCTTGACGAGAGAGTCGCGACTGCCATAAACGGAAATGCCCACACCATAAGACGTACTCCTTCCGGTCCATCATCTCTCACCTGTTCGCCCCCCTTTCTCCCTTTCACTTTTCGCATCACGCCGACCACGCCCACCACATATTCCCCATATTCCTGCTCGTCTCATCCCCGCACTTCATTGTCCGTCCGCTCATATTCCAAACGCCCTTAGCCTGTCGGAAGCAGGGTTGTCAGTGAGCAAAACGGAGACTATGAGTGGCGCTACGTCGATCAAGACGGCCCTGGTGGGCAACGGTCGTGATCCCTCCCGTTTTCGACCGATCTTGTCTCGCTCATTTGGATTTGGCTGGGCCCATCTCGAAGCCCATGATCGCTCCGCTTTTCTGCCCATCGGTATTGCGCTCCTCCAAATTCTCGACCACGTTGCGGTTCCGCATCCGCAACCTTAGTGCTTGTTGCACCGTTCCCAATTCCAGACAACCCCTCCTCCCAAGTTTCGCATTGAACAGAGCCTGTCGCGAGGCAGTTTAGCGTCGATGTGTCTTTTTGTCCTCAGACCCGGCCAACAGGAAAGAAAGGCAGTTGGCTGGCTGTTCCCCGGCTGTGGAGATGCAGATAGAAAACCCCAGCCAACTCACTGCAATACCGTGTGGAGCACTAGCCGACCCCAACATTTTCTCCAACTTTCGCGAGGCTGATGTCCCAAGCGGAGGGAGGTGGGAACGAGTGAGTGCACTCAGACGAGGGTATCCTCTTATGAAGCATCTGAACTTTCTGATGAGAAGTTGTAAATTGGCATCACAAATTGGCAACAATAACCGATGATGGCGAGCCAGTATACTTTAGCAGATGCCATCTATCGACCCCGTCTAGTCAGGCTAACAAAATTCTCGTTTTGCAGTTTGTTCACCATTGGTAGTCCTTTGTCCTTTGCCTTTTCGATTCCTTGTTTCGACACTTGAGTTGTTGCTTGCCATCTAAGATGCTGATGTTGCAAAATCCCATGTTTTACTGAAAGGCGGATCTTGACCTAGTGCCTCTTTGCCAATTGACAAGCAAAAAATCAGTGCCGAGTTGTGATCTATTCCATCCATACACCCCCTCCCTGTATTTGGCAGCGTCTGGTCGATCACGACACAGCAAGGAAGGGCTTATTGCGGATAGAGAACGAAGGAAACAATGGCTTGTGAGGGAAAGAGGCGACGTCCTTGAGGGTACACGTGGTGGCCTGTCTGGCATCCGCAATGGTCCTGGAGCCGCACCACGCACGTAAGGGTCTTTTTCACCAAAGGAAAAAGACCAAAAAAGGCACACTTGCCTCATTTGTCGTCAACTGCTCCAGGCGACATCGATACCGGAGGCGGACTGTAACGCATGACTGTGACTGCGACTACGACACGCGCCGCACGAGGCACTACGGCATGGGTTGTGGATGCTCTTCAGCTACGGCTCCGTAGAGTCGCCGGTGTCCTGGATCCAGACACACCTTTCAGCTCTTTTCAAGCCTTTCCCCTGTCCCTAAACTTCAAATGGCAGTTGCGGAAGTAACGGGCGGGCGGACCTTTCCAGCGCCGTACCGCGGCAGCAAGCAGACGGATCGGCCTGGTCTGTCCGGTCGCGTGCATGCGAGAACAAACGTGTTATGGGTCAAAGAGCGCGAGTGGGGGAATGAAAAGAAAAAAGAGTAATAACAACAGAGTGCTAAACCATCGACGGGTCACACCAACGAGACGCATCCGTTTCCCGTTCGGGCCACTTGCATTTTTGGTCACCTTTGGATCTCGCATTCTTGCATCTTGTCTACAACATATATAGGACAAGGTGTAGAGAAGCAGAGTACAGAGTACAGACAACAGCCGGTTCGATTTTCAATGAAGTTGAGAAAGGAGGGCAAAAGAGGTGTGCCAACTTGGTTGTGCCAGAGCAGATCCAACACTTTCATGGAACTGGCAGCGCAATGTAGTATGGCAGAGGAGAGTTGCAAGTGCCGCACCCTTGGAAAATCGACCTCTATTACATAGGCCCTAATAGCAGCCGGCAAAATGCCAGAAAAACACATATGAGACCCAAAAGCGGGTACGACAAATATACTATGCGGCGCTGCTTGTATCTATATTTGTCCCGCCCTCTAAATGAAGAGGCCCCCCTTCTCGACGGAGGAAGTACCAGATGCGTACATTTCCACCCACGCGTTAGTGTTGCACATGCTTCTGAGAGTTGACATTTTTGCGTCCAGGAACGAAAATTACATCTGACAGGGGAGGTTGGGAAACGCAAGAGTCCAGCCAAGCAAAGGTTCGAGGTTTGACTTTATGAATTCCTTGTCTGGTGGCTCGTACCGCGACAGCGAGGCGGAAGGTAGTTTCTTTTTTGAGTGAAAAAAAAGGCAAATGCCACATATTGTCAAATGAAGATGAAAAAGGGTCTGCAACATTTGGGTGGACAGGTACAAAATGGCCTGGAGTGAGAGCGCAGAAGAGAACGGCTGGCCATGGTCCTGGCCACACTAAGAGGAAAGTATGTTTTTGAAACCCCAGATTCCCCGGAGCGGCCTGGTACCGTCGTAATTTGTATGGGATGCACCCTGAGGATAGACACTCTAATTGAGAAAGGGGAAACCGATCAGTAGCATGTACGATGTAGCACTGGAGAGACGGGATGTATATTAATGTCACACGTGGCTAAGAGGCCGAAAACAATAAAGCAAACAGAAGGAAATGCGGTAGTGCGGTATTCCCATATGAAAGGCGCCCCGTCCTCCCTCTGTCTGAAAGACAAATGAGATGCAGTGAGCGGATGACCTTCTATTTTTGACTGTGCTGCGACGGAGATCGATAGGAGGGCATAACAGGGTAGGATTGCAGGATTGCAGGATTGCAAACCTGCAGACCTGCAGATCTACAGACCTGCAGAGGTATTTTTGTGACCTCTTCGCGTGGGCAAGGCACAATAGCGCCCTCTCGTTCGGCTTCTGTGCTTAGCAAAATCCGCACAACTGAACGGTCATAGTAATTTCACACTCGTGCCTTATAGCTGCTACTGTAACGCGGGCGGTTCGGTGGTAATATCCGTGACACGGAGACAGCGAGAAACCAAAAGGCATAGCCCGAAGCATAAGGACAAGCAAGCAAAAAAATGATTCTGTATTTGTACATCTTTATCCCATTTCAGTCGAGGGAGGACAGATCGGGGCAACATAAATAGAAGGCTTGATCGAAACCAACCGACACAAAACCTAAAGAGACAGGGAAAGGGACAAGTCCAAACCGGGGCCAACGCTTCTGCAAAACTCCCGGTTGTCTCGATGGCCGAGAGAGCCGCCGAGAATTCCATGTCTCTTATGTATGTTTGGCCCGGGCCTCTAATATTCTGTGCTTCTTAACGGTACTCTACGCCGAGCCGTGTGAAGATCAGTTGTTTTAACATTGCTCGCTTCCTGACAGGCCTGTGGGGACTGTAGCATCTGATACTGCCGCGAGGATGGAAAAAGAAAAGAAGAGACGAGACTAATCCTACCTGTCCTAACTCTCGCAGTTTCCTTCTCGAAACTCAGAAGCAGTAAACTGGGCCCAGACAGTGGCCGGCCATGATGAGACGCGATCATATGCTGTCCCGGGAGTGATGGTTCATTGGACGGCAAGGGGAAGATGTAGAAAGTTCGTGCGCCCGTGACTTGCGTGAGGCGACATCACTAATAGTTCCAGCTCACGCCCCACAGCAGAAACGCTGGAAGGCACCGGGAGAGGCAGGAAAAGCCAGGGAGAGGCAAGGAGAAGCAGGGAGAGATAAAAGGGCCAAGATAAACGAAAGGAATGGTCCGGGAAGGCTTATCGTCCTTGAAAAATCGAGTCGTGCGTCTAGCTTGTGCGCATTTCTGGCTTGTTTGCTTGTTTATGGTAGTCGTAAACGGCGGGCCAAGCAATGCGCTGTGCGTGCCAATGGTTTTCATTTCATTGTCACTTGTGAATATCTCCGGTTGGATTTGGGCATTTCTAGTCCATGCTCCGCCCTAGCAGTAGTTGTTGACCATTTGCCTTTTGTTTTGATGATGCTCGCCACCCATCACCCACATGCTTCTCGCCAAAGTTCGTATTTGCTTTATTTGAGCCCAGCGAGGGATGTGGGCTCCGCAACGAAGTGGACAAAGACGGAAAATACCGTGACCGTTTGGAAACACGGAGAAGTAGACAAAGAGGTAACATATTCAAACTTTTCGTGAGGCACTAGGGTTGTGGAAGAGATGAATCACATTGTCGAAGCACATGCGTCGTACTTTAAACTTCGTACCAGACAGCCAGAACACCAGAACAGCATAACAACAGAACATCACACTCGTACTTGCGGCCGGTGATTTGTCAAAGAACACAAGTGTTTTGGCTGGCATTCTCAGCTAAAATCGTCATCATCGCCTTGGTGCATAAGCTCATCGACTTGTTCCTGATTGGGTGCCTGGCCATCGACTAGGTCGTTTTGGGCAACTTCCATCGACCCGAGATATGCTACTACTGTAGCATTCGTGAGAAGATCCGACCTCTGCATGGAAGGATTGAGGTGTCAGCAAGAATTAGTACCAAAGAAAAAAGCGACTGAAAGCAAATCTTCAAATGGGTCCCCTTGTTGACAATTTCATTTGGAACGCTGACAGGGCTACCATGAAACGGACCACTTGTATCGTATGATTGTTCGTTCTCTGTCTCGCCCCGTGTGCTCCCGAACACTCGTTATTTCGGTAGCAGTTAAGGGTTGCAAATTCCACGTTAGACTCAATACCTAGGTTCTCTCTGGTGCAGCCCCAGTACACTGCATGTACGGAGTACTAGGCACGGCTCCTACTTGGGACCCGAGAATTCCCTGCGCTTTCTTGACAGTTTCCCACAACGTCGCGTGCCGTAGTGTCATCTTTTGTTCACGTTTTCGTTTGTGGCCCTAGCAAAACGCCAGTCCGAGCGGAGCCCATACTGTCGGCGAATGACCAAGTTCAGCGTTTAAACGGGGCTCATAACGGGGGTTCTTTTGGGCGTGGGGTAGACTTGAAGTGACCTGGAGAATGGCCATGGATCGCACTGTGATATCTCGTACTTCATAGTAGTCTCGAGAGAGGTTGTGTGCGAGTTTCAGTAGGGCAGTGGCGCACGACAGTACTTGAAATGAAAGAGATTGAACCATATTTTGTATCGAGCCCTGAGCATTTCTCAAGCAAGACTGGCAGAGAGAGACCAGTTGGCCTCCAGCTAACACCGTAGGTCCCGACTCCATAAGCATCTCCATGCATCTGTATGGGGTAATGGGGCGACGGGCAGCAGAGGCGAAAAAACAGCTCGGAGTGGCCAGAACGGCGTGACGCGCCTTGTGGGCTTCACAAAAATGAGAATGTGAAGATTGTGGGGATAGTGGATGCGGGGGAACAAATTCAAGAGAAATAGGATCAGAAATCTGGGACCATCTGGGGCCAACCAGGGGAAGAAAAAGTGGCGGCAGCAAGCGAGGAACGATTCAATAAACCCGAAAATGTACGACTGGTACACGAGCTGAACAGAGGTAGCACATCAAACTGCCAGCTTCCGCCCCAAGTGACGAAGGGAGACACCGGTGGTTATGTTGATGATGGCTGTACCTTCATTGTAGTGATGACCTTTTCAGTCACAGGGGAAGAGCACGGGGAAGTCAATCGTCCATTATTCGCTTGTCGGCTTGAAACTCACCTCTGCTTCCAATGCTTCTAAGGCTGCGCTGAGGATCCGTGATTCGATGTCTCGCAAAAGTGCGGCCTGCTTGGCTACAACACTGCGAATGTCGTCGTCGAGACTAGAGCTCTCGTCCTCCATGTCGGCGTCATTATGCGCAGCGTTGTCGTCGTCATCGTTGTCGTCGTCGCCGCTGCCACAGTGGTCGTCCTTTTCAGCTCCGACTGCCTGCATGCGCTCCAAATGCGATTCGATAACCTCCTGCAGAACCGTTACGACACGTAAACGGAAGATGGGCGCCATCGTGTGTTGACTCGAAAACATTTCAAAATCGCGTGCCCTGTCTGTGATATCCTCATCCTGCCAGAACATGCGCAGCTGTGTCGATCCATCTGTTTCCTGGCGCAAGCGAAAGTCGATGCCGTCCTCTTCGTTGACACACATCAGATGGACAAACGGACACGTCCAGCGAACCTTTCCCGATGGATTTATGTTCCCTTCAGCTTCGTTGTTGTCGTCACTATCATCTTCATCGTCCACGCCCAGACATTCGATCTCCAGTCGTGGTACCGGCGCACCGAATACGTGAAGCTTTGCCTTTGCCAGAGGATCATCCGGAAACGGTTGGAACGGAAGGACGAGGCTGTGCCGAGTCGACGCGGGATCGATGAAACCGTAGCTGAAAAGCATCTCGGATGCAGGTTTGAGGCCGCTGTTGCCATCACCAGAACCTGCCCCGGCATCATCTTCTTTACTGCCGCAGTAGCTGATAGTGATCTCGTCAGACGCAGAAATCGTTTGCTGTGGCCTCACCAAGAGAACCACGCCAACGTCGTCGCTGGCTACTGGTGTGGTTGAGGCTTCCTCGTAGTAGGCGTTTGGCTTGTCGCTGTGGTTGACCATGTCGATGCATGGCACCATGGACGGACCATACCGCGGGAGGTCAAGGCAGCGTGAGCGGTACCAGGCGTCAACCAGAAACCAGTGGCGGAGCTCTGGTCCAGACGTGCGGTCCCAGAACGCAGCCTGCCAAAACGGGATGTCTGACGAGTGCTCGCGCAGTTGATCAAACTCGGCCTCCAGGGCTATGAGCTTTGCCCCAACCGCAGACTATATATAATTAGAGTGACGTGAAATCTTGGCAAGAAAACAGCAGTCATTCACCTACCTCGAGCGAGGTACCCTGGAGCAGCAGGCGTTCTGCATCTGTCCACAGGGTCGGCAACGGCACGTCTGCGGGCAAGAACCGAACATACTCCGTCCATGGTGTGGGCAAGGAAGCCAGGTCCTCGTCGGGCTGTCGTAAGCCCAGCACGAGCTGCACCAACAGAAAGAGGAGTATATCGCCACGGGCTGTTTGGTGACCGACGGCATCGAGGAGCAATCGAAAGTTCCGGTCCTGTTTCGCGTATTCTTCGACTGCCTCAACATGGAGCACGAGGCCGTGTGGAACGGAAATCAAGGGCTTGCCATTGCCATCCGTCTGAGAACTCGATTCGGAGCCAATTGAAACTAGTCCAAAGCCTTTACCGGGGATAGCGGTGATGCGGGTGTTTGTGAAGGTGACGTTGTTCAGTGTCTCCCAGAGCGGAAGTGACGTGATGGGCAGCTGCGCATGGGCCATTACGCAGAAAATGATAGTGAATAAATAAATGAAAAAGAAGAAGAAAAGAAGAGCAATAAATAAGAAAGATAACGGAGGGAAAGGGAAGAAAGGATAAAGTCAAGATTTAGGGGCACAACAGAAACAGGGCAAGAGCTTTTCGGTAGATGGAGTCCGTGGCTAGGAAGGAGCAGCCTGGAGCAAGGTTGCGGGACTGGCTCGGTATTTTCTTATCGTTCCTGCCCAGGTATTGCTATTGAGCGTGACCAAGTGCGTTTTGTTTTTAATTAGTATGCAATTAAGATGCGCTGGCTTGGGGAAGGAAGGAGCTGTTCATTTCTCCTTCCAGGTTTGACTTGCGACTGGCCATCACCTGTCACTAAATACGTTCTTGTCGTCAAATACAGCCACTGGATTGGCTGATATTCCACCAGCCTCAATGCGCCAGTCGCCTTCCTAAATGGCGGGGCACCGTACGGAGCGCAAAACATACAAATCGTACTAGCGAGAAAGAAAAGCCTAAACTAAAATTTTCTAGCGGGGCAGCCCACTGCAGTGGCTTTCAAAGCCACTGCCAGTCGAGAACTGGTCAATGCAAGGGCGCCGGCGCATCCCGCACCAGGAAAATCCCGAGCAAAATTCAAGAGACATGCGACATCGCGACGAGGCTGCCTTTACAGAGTGTCTCGCTCGCCGCGCCACATCCGGACCGACCCAGAGGGGCTTTAACGACGTCTAGGGCCGCATTCCACTAGTCTCGCTGCCCATCATGCCTCGCGACCCGCTCATTGGGCTGGTCGGCAAACCGAGTGCCGGCAAATCGAGCATGCTCAATTCGTTAACAGATGCCACGTCCAAAGTTGGTGAGTGATCCTAGCGGGTTAAACCTCTGAGCTGCTTGGGACATGGGGCTGATAGACACTCTCTGACAGGAAATTTCCCGTATGTACTCCTACAAACACTCCCGACGGGCGCCGCCACCCCATCCTAACCATACGCTGCAGCTTTACGACCATCGACCCCCAACGAGCGGTCGGCTACCTCCAGGTCGACTGTGCCTGTGCCCGCTACGGCGTCACAGAGCGCTGCAAACCCAACTACGGCGCCTGCACCAATGGTCGCCGGTCCGTGCCGATTGAGCTGCTCGACGTGGCAGGACTTGTCCCCGGCGCCCATCAGGGCAAGGGTCTCGGCAACAAATTCCTCGACGACCTACGCCACGCCGACGCGCTGATCCATGTCGTCGACGCCAGCGGTACTACGGACGCCGAGGGCAAGAACACACGGGGCTACGACCCGTCCGTCGACATTGCATGGCTGCGGTCCGAGATCGTGCAGTGGATCAAAGGCAACCTGGTGGAGCGATGGCCGGCTATCCGGCGGCGGCACATTGCCGCAAAACAAACGGCTGTCGAGACGATGCAGAACCAAATGTCCGGGTACGGCAGCACGGCCAAGCTGATGGCGCGGACGCTGGACCGGCTGGCGCTCAAGGAGCCGCTGGAGGCGTGGGACGATGCGCTGCTGGACCGCGTGGTCAACGCGTTCACGGACGACAAGTTCCCGACCGTCATTGCGCTCAACAAGATCGACCACCCGGATTCGGACCGCAACATTGCCAAGATCACCAAGATGATGCAGAACGAGTCTGACAAGATCGTGCTGTGCTCCGCTGTGTCCGAAATCTTCTTGCGCAAACTGGCCAAGCAAGGGTACCTAAAGTACACCGAGGGCGGCGAGTTTGTCGATACGCGCGAGGACCTGATTGCCGACGGCGACCCGGAGGGCGGCCACCTCAAGGAGATGGATGAAAAGAACTTGCGGCGCATCAACAATCTGCGTGATATGGTCATCTACCGTTTCGGCTCGACGGGCGTCGTGCAGGCCCTCTCGCGGGCGGCTGACGTGCTGAACCTGATTCCCGTGTTCCCGGTGCGCAGCATTGCCGCACTTACTATGGCACAGGCCAGCGCTGCCGCCGCCGCCGGGTCAGCAGATCCGACAATGGGTGGCCCGCCACCACTATCGGCCGCAGAGGCGGCAAAACCGCTCTTCCGAGACTGTGTTCTGGTCAAGAAGGGCAGTACCGTGGCGGAAGTGGCGCGCAAGTGCATGGGTGATGCACCAATAGCCTACGTTGAGGGTGCTGCAGGCACACGCGTGGCTGAAGATGACACCGTGGATGTCGGCAAGAACGATGTGAGTATTTACGTCCGCATTTTGAGATGCACGTTGTCAATAGCAAAGGCTAACGCTGCTGCAGATCTTATGCTTCAAGGTTGGCCGCACGTAACGACGGCACGTCAGCTTTAAAAGGAGAGACACGCCGGTGATTTAAAGGGCATGCCGCGACAGACCAGGGTGTCTGAGAGTGCAAACGCAATTGCAATCAATGTACTGCAGATCGACCTTCGCCGGCATGTAGACTAGGAGTTTGGACAGGAATACCCAAGCATACGAGTCCGAGCCCAAAGTTGTGGTGAAAGCACGACGTCCTATTGGGCGGGCAGCTTCCATATCATATGCGCTGGTGGATTGGCCTGTCCGATCAACGGACCAGAAAACTACCGTTGCGGCGGCCCGGAGGCAGTCCGGTAGATGTGGAAGCTTTGGTCGACGCAGATATCTGGTCCAAAGGGTGCCAGAACACAACGGCCTGCCAACATCACTGAACGTTATGTCAACGGTATTTTTCACCAAATAGCAAAAGATATAATAATGAAGGAAGGGTATCAAGATTTCATTGTCTTTTGCGTCGACGCGAGCCGACAGCGAATTAAGTAAGGGAACAAAACCCCATGCTGATCGAAATATCAAAACAAAAATGAAAAATAATTAAGAAAGCCGAGACAAAAAGGCAATGCAAATCCCAAGAAATCGTAGAAAGCAATTGTCGACAAATTTACTGTAATCAACATTGCTCGGACATCTTCACGAAAGATGCCAGGCGATCTGATTTGAGATTCCATCTGTTCGACAACAATAAGGGATCGTTGGGCGGGAGATGAGATTCCGGAGATGGCGAAGGTGCTGTTTTGGTTGCGTCTGCTGATGCCAAGGCGCCAAGCCAGACATTGCCCTGTGGACCATGGTTGGCACAGGCTGCGTTGCTTTTACCGCAAGAGGGCGGTCTAAGGCGCGAACGGGGCTTTTGTTTTCGTTGTCGTCATCAACGGAATTGCGCCAAATCGCGGGCGACCCACGCTGGGCTTATCGACCGACTGCTGCTTTTGTTTGGCTTGTCGTCTTCCGCAACGGCCTCCCTCATTCTACTCCATTTTCGGCCTAATATTTCAGAATGATGTACAGGGCGTGGAGGATGCCGGGAATGTAACCTAAAAAGAGTATTAGCTGTGGGTCGCTTTTTACAATACGATGGCGCATCGAGATAGCTGGAGGCGAGAACATGAACATACCCAGGATGGTCAGCAGGATGTTAATGAGCAGGTCGGCACCGCAACCACGCTCAAGGAAGACACCCAGAGGTGGCAGGATGATGGCAAGGATGATCTTGCAGATGTCGGAGGTGGTGAAAGGCATTGTGGTGGTTGGTGAGAGAGTATCTCGAGATGTGTCTTGAAGTGTTTGCTTGAGAGGAAGATGATTGGAGGTCTGTAGTACAGAAGATGCGAAAGTGAATTGGATGAGGGCAAAAACAGGACAGGAACAAAGACACGAGGACGAGGGGACATGCCACCTTTAAGTATCTGTTTGTGACTGGTGACAAGAGCCACGGAATGGGATTGGCGCCGAGGAGCTTATCTGAGTACGCATCACAAGGAACAAGGCGCTACGCTGTGTGATGTACAGCAAGTGGGGGAAGGCAAAAAGACACCATTTGAAAACCGGACGAGGACACAGGAGGGAGCCAGATGGCCGGGCATTGGGGATTGCGGCCTTCTGTGACGAAAGAGGAAAGAACGTACCGCATCCTTCGTCGACAGGCAGGTGCGAGGCGATGGTACTTGCCGCGGTGGGCGGGTTCTGCGGGTTCTGTGGGTTCTAGGCAGGGGGGAGGGGATGTACTGCGTCATACAATCTTTCAAATGAGGCAATACTAGTGTCATGTCTCTTGGATCAACGATGCATTGGCATTACTAAATGAGCTTGGGCGTGCAAAGGACGGATGAACGTGATTGGCAACCTGGCTGCCATGGCACGACCCCGTCCTGTGGCCACCGCCGTTCGTGCTGCTTTCTTTCCAGCCACTGCTTTTACGTATTCAATCCCTTCCGTAAACTCCACTGCGTCTTGCGTTTTTGTTCAAGTGACCAGATAACGTCGCAGTAACCAAAGGAAGGAGCAATCAGTAACAAAACATGCATTTGAAACGGCGGCCGCGATGGCAGGTACAACACATCAATAGTGCCCCGGCGGTTAGTGGAGCTTAGTGAGAGCTCCGGAGGGAGTAGCTGACAGAGCTTGACGGTCCGCCTTTCTATTTTCCATCTTGTATTCTTCCTCTCCTCGAGCCAGATTTGCCAAAAGCAAAACTTATAGAGCATAATCTCCATGATACAAAATACTCTACAGGCTTGATAGGACTGGTCCAACGTTTGTGCCGTGCTTCTCTGTCGAAAAACCTTTTTACTTTGCATGGTCCAGATCCACTGGACGAAATGAAAGTGCAGGAATTACGTCACTACCACGGCGCTAATCTGAGCGATGGCGTCCACAACGGGAAACAGGAGACCTACGGCAGTTCCCCCCTGTTTCGCGCCTTCCCTGCTTCCTTAAAAAATATGATGCAATCACGTCTCCGTAACGGCCCATGACATGACAGATCGGGATAAGCGATCGATAGCTCTTTCCTTTGCAGAATCTGTTTGAGAATCGTGGCGCATTGCAGCACAAGCCACCTCTTTACGTTTTCCTCAGCAGGCTTTTCGTCCATTCCTTGCCATTTGGCAACGGTAATTTTAGATGACTGTCTTGATACGCTCAAAATAGAATCAGGGCTACCTTTCCTTGGTTGCCTGTAGCTCGCTGTCACTGTTACCAGAATTGTGGCAGGGTTGGTAAAAATAGGTGATGCTGATGTGGCTCACCAACAAGGCCAAGTCTTTGGAGCCTAGCGAGAATAACGCAGACAGCCCGGTAGTAGACTAGCGCGTGTGGATAATTGCATTACACGCAGAGCACATTCACGTGACTTTCAGAAAAAACAAGCCCTAACTTTACTTATCGATAACACTGAATTTTTTCAGTCCTTCCTGCGAAAAAGTGGGGCAATTTCGTCTCTTCTCGCTCGACTTTCCTAGTTCCGTTCTCGCGATCTCGCACAGAACTACCACTTTTCTCGTCAACCACCACATCATTCTTCCCTGACAGCACGCAGGATTCGACTTCTTTGCGTCCACCGTCGCTTTTCTATACATCACCCAAAGTTTCCTTACCTTCCCCAGTCTATACAATGGCTCCTCAGAACGTACGTATATTCCCGCGATGAAGACCTCGACGATGCGAGACGAACGATGGCGATGCTTTTTGTGGTAGAACAAAAGCATCGCCGTCGCGGCCTCGTCCCTCTGCCCTTGCCCTTGTCCCTTTGAAAGACAAAACGAACCGCTTTGCTGTTTTTGTGGGCATCTCTTTACATCCTGTACACCCCTCGTCCAAAATCAATGCAGCAGGCTAAAGTTTTGTTTTTTTCCCCCGTTTGTAGAAGAAGTCCGGCAAGGCCGCCAAGACGACCAAGAAGTTCGTCATCAACGCCTCGCAGCCCGCCAGCGACAAGATCTTCGATGTCGCCGCGTTCGAGAAGTACCTTACCGACCGCATCAAGGTCGACGGCCGCGTCGGCAACCTGGGCGAGACCATTGCCATCTCGCAGTCCGGCGACGGCAAGATCGAGATTGTTGCCCACAACGACCTGTCGGGCCGCTACCTCAAGTACCTGACCAAGAAGTTCCTCAAGAAGATGCAGCTGCGCGACTGGCTGCGCGTCGTGTCGACCTCCAAGGGCGTCTACGAGCTCAAGTTCTTCAACGTTGTCAACGACGACGACGCTGAGGATGACGAGTAAACTGTTGCTCTTCTTCTGCAAGGCGGCTAGAGGGAAAGCAGCGACAAATAGACAAAAAAAGGAACAAAACTTGGAAGGCGTGCAGACCAGTAAGAGCGAGAGGATGGCATCCGTGTCGTCGCTCGTTTCCCTGTGCCTGTACTATCGGACTCATGACAAGGCTACTTAGCCATGCATGTCCGTATCCTCCAAAAACATTTAGAAAACCACAAAAGCCGGCAAATAATGGAATAAAAGCTGTCATTTGGGCCCCAATATTGTTTGCAAATTGCATGTGTGACATATGTGACATATGGATGTGATTTCAATGGGAAATTTGTAAGCGTGAAGAGGAGATTTCAAACTAGTCAACAGCGACACAACCAACAGACCTAGGCTCCAAGATCGTAGTAGATGCACGTCCCCGTGCGAAAATTGTACACGAACGCATTCCGCGACCGACTGCTGTTGCTGCCTTCGTACTCGGTCCGCCACCGCAGTAGCATGTCCTGGATGTCTCGCGTGTACTTCTTTTCGACCGAACTGACGCTCTGCTCCACGCGCCGCCAGCTGTCCGGGTCTGAGAGTGCCGTGCCGCGAATCAGGTCGAGCACCTGGTCGGTCGTCTCGACGGCGGCAATGGGGCCCGACAAGAAGGATCGCACGAGCCGCGCCGCGCTGACTTGTGCCTGCTCGACGACAACCTGGCGGTTGAACTTTTTGCTCTTGGTCTGGCCCACGAGGACGCGCACTTCCTGCTGCTGGCCCTCGGCTCCGCCAGCACGGTCACCCGCACCGGTGTGATGACTGCCACCGACCGACGACGACTCGAGGGACGATGAGGCCACGGCCGCGGCCGCGGCAGCCGCTGCTGCTACTTTGACGGCGCCGGTGCGTGTGGAGTCGCGCTCGCGCATCTCGCTGCGCAGCCAGCTGACTACCTGCGAGAAGGGCAGCTCGACGTCGGGTGCGGCATAGCTTCTGTGAAGGGCGGCCGCACTCGACCCGCCGCTTGCGCCTGATCCTGCGCCCGCAGAGGGCATCGTCTTGATCTTGACAATGCCTTCCGGCTTGACGATGATGATCCACGCATGGCCCTCGTCCCGGTTCTTGAGAACAAGCTCTTCTGTGGACCGGGCATCACCGGCCAGCTCGGCGCTGATGTCGTGTGCCCACAGTGTGCGAAGCAGTTCCACACCAACGGAACGGAGAATGGTCGGATCGAAACTAGCCACAAGAATGTCGCACTATTCCTGTCAGCACCATACCATGTCTCAAATAAAAAATAAAAATGGGTTGGTGGCCTTGAAGATACTCACCCGCTTAACCGAAAATGCACCCAGCGTCTCTTCCTCGGCCGCCTTCTTTAAAAATGCCTTGCCACTGGACCGCGGCGGCGGCGGCGCCAGCTTCTCCCAGTTCAGACTGAAGCCCACGGCGTGGCGCTCGTCGGGCAGGTTGGACCCAAAACGGGGCCGGTACTCCTTGATGAGACCATCGTAGCGGCCACCCGCAGCAAACACGTCCTTGACTTTCTTGTCCAGCAGGCATGAGAACATGACGCCGCCCGAGAAAAACGCCTCGTTCCATGTGTTGAGCGGGCACACGTAAATCTTGGACGTTACACCCATGCGCTTGCAGTACTCGTACACCTCGCGGAGGTGGGCCAGGGTCGACGAGGCGCGTTGGTAGGCGTCGGTGCCTTCGAAGAGCGCCTTGAGCTTGGCGTAGGTTTTGCTCGGGGTGTCGCGGAAGTCAAACTTTTGGAGCTCGTCGATGCTTGTTGTCGATGCACCGACCAGTGGCGAGCGCAGCTCACTGCGCAGTTTCTGCCACGTCACGTTGTGAATGTTGAGCCGACTGAGAACGTCGGCAGCCGCGCGGCGGGCAGACTTTTCGACGCCACAGAAGTCAAAAATGACCTGCAACAGGTCGGAGTGACCGAGCTGGAAGCAAAGTGGGTTGGCGCGCACGGTAGGGAACGCTGCTGTAATTTCGTCAATCACTTTAATCACCTCGGCCTCTCGCAAGGCGAGATCGAGTGTGTGGGTCGTGATAAGGTCAAAGTCCACCTCGCCAAACATGCTCGGCTGGCCGCCACCCGGACGGTCGCGGAAGATGCTCCCGAATGTGTAGGACTTGCCCACCACGTTGCTGCCCGAGGAACAGCGGGCCAGCGCACGGGCGTTGCCCATTGTTAAGTCAAACGGCAATTGCAACAGATTGCCGTTGTGGTCGAGAAGCTGCACGACATTTGCTCCTCCGTACAAAGAGGAACGAGGATATAGCGAGCTGCGTGTGGCTTCAACGGCACCATGGCGTCGGAACACAGAGATCAGAACCTCTTTGACAATGTGCTGGCGCATCAGGTCTTGGGAGCTCGGTGGCGCCTGCGTCTGCATGGACGACATATCCCAGGCGTAGTCTTTGGCCTGCTCGACGGGACGTGCAAAAAGCATCGACAGCATCTTTTGGTAGTACGGGGACGACGGGTCAGAGAGCTCGGACAGTGCGTGCCGGATTGTCTCGCTCTCCA